ATACAAGATGAGCGTGGAAATCTTGCAGTGAAAGAAAGTAAGGAAGTGCTCAAATTTTTTTTAACAAAAAGGAAGAGGGGACACAGCAGCTCCTTCATGATCTCTGAATGACCAAAGCTAGAACAATTTTATTGCTGGAGCAATAAATAACGGTAGCATTGAATTTTAAACCAAAGAATAAAGCAAATATCCATAGACCCACACTGATATAAAGAAACAACTGAATAAATCTGAACAAATCAATGGGAGAAAACATATGAATCCTCTCTACAAAACATTCCAATTAATAAATGAGAAACATAGAAAGTCACTTAGCACACCATAGTAATGATTGCTCCTAGCAAGACAAACTGGCTAAAATTAGTGAGTGAAAGTTTAAGGACAAACAAGATATTTGCATAGCCTCAAAGTATCCCTCCCAAATATTTAATAGTTACAGAGAGGAACACAGTAAGATTTTACTGGAGAAATCCAGTAGATATCATCTAAGCTAGTGATGGACCTTAATTTAAACAATAATAAAACATACACTGTGTACCCCCAGGCATCAGGCACCAAGAAGTGCATCTCAAAGTATCTCAAAGAAGTACTCATCTCAAAATGCATAATCTTGTCTAACCATGAGAAATGATTACAAACTCACATTGAGGGACATTTTACAAAATAACTGCCCCGTGGTCTTCAAAAATCCCAAGGTCACGAAAGACAAAGACTGAGGAAGGGAGTCAGGACAAGTAAAAGCAATGTAAAATCCTGAATTACATCCTGGAACAGAAAAATGATGTGACTGGGCAAACTGATGAAATCCAAATGAAATTTGTCATTAGTTAATTTTACCACACCAGTATTAATTTCTTCATTTTGATCATTATGATTATGCAAGATGTTAACATTAGAGGAAGCTGAATAAAGGGTATACAGGTGCTCTCTGTGCTGTTTTTGCTGCTCTTCTGGAAATCTAAAATTATTTCATAATACAAAGTTTGAAAAAGTTATATATAAGATGGAAAATTATATGGTTACCCTACCTGCAGAAATAATAAAAGATATTTTATTGATTTCTTGCGTATCCTTTCAGTGATTATTTATACAAAAAAAATTCTTATCTCTACTATTTCCACACACCTTGCTTTTTTCATTTAAAATATATCCTAGAAACTCCCCATATAAATACACAGGCTTGCTTCATTTTCTTTTCATATTTTTTATTATGAAAAAAATTTGAGAGATACAGAAAATTGGTATGGCTTGGCATAAACACTCACATGCTACCACCTATATTTCCTCATTTTCTTTTATAAATGTATGGTATTCCATTGTGTGGAGTTAATACACATGTATTTTTTTAAGTGGGTTCCATGTCCAGCAGGGAGCCCAATGGGGGGCCAAAATCACAACCTTGAGATCAAGTCCCTGAGATCAAGACCGTCAGACCATATAACCAACTGAGCCACCCCAGGCACACCAGCTCACATGTATTTCTCATCTCATAGTTAGATGCTGAAATTTCTGTCTTGACACACACTTGTCAAAATGGAGTAGAGAAATGGTAGGAGATAGAATCAAATTGAGGAGCAGAACTTTGGAACCCAATAGATCCTAATCCAAATAACCACTGTCACTTACTGGCTGCATGGCCCTAGGCAAGTTACTTAACTTCCCAAATCTCAGCTGCCTCTTATGAAAATACAATGACATCTTAAGGTTACAGCCAGGATCATGTGAGATGATAATATATAACGCACCAATTCAACAAATGATATACATTGTTATTGCTATTATTTAATCGGAAAAGTTCAGAAATATCAGGCAGTTGATCTGTGTAAGCCAATTTCAAGAACACTCCTGTTTCTTCCTCTTGCTGATTATGTATCCACCTACCAAGACAAAAAAGTAATCTTAGGAAACATAAAATAGAGCTGCAGCAGTATCACCATAACCTTGATTGTTCTGAAATTCAGTAAATAGAACAATGTGAAACTCTACTTGGCCACAAATTTAGTTGATAAAACTAAGTGACAAGAGCCCTTATAAGAAGTGTTGTTACTCTTGGCTGATTCAAATGACAGATTCATCTTTCCAGCCCTGGGCCAAAGCACCAAGTCATTAAAAAGTCTGAGACTCCTCCAAATTTTGATCTCTATACTGAGAACCAATACTTTACCAAAAGGTCTGGACTGTCCACAAAATGTGTTGGACCAGTTAGTGGACTTGCCATTATTTCTCCATTGTACCAACAAGATAAGAAACCCTTGACTTTTTGTGTTAGCATTTCTCTATCCACAGAACACATTTCCAGTCCCAAGGGGAAGTGGTTGCAGGTAACTTTGGTATCACTTTTGTAATTACAATGGCAAATCATTGCCAGCTCTGGAAGAGAGCAGATGTCTTTTTTTTTTTTTTTTGGCCTACAAATAGAATATGTATATAAATAGTCAAGAGAGTGAGAAATAGCCTCTGTCAGTAGAAGCATTCAAACTGTATTTATTCGTTAATTCACTCACTCAACAAGGAGGACTTAGCAAGATTCTATTGTATGCCAGGCACTGTGCTTGGTGTTGAAAATAATAAGATCAAAATAAGAACAAAACTCTTGGCTTCAAGTTACTTAAGGAGAGATAAGACACACTGACAATTATAAAGCAATGCAGTTGAGTACTTTGGGAGGGCATAGAATGGCATCACTAAAGCGGTTAAAATTCTGTTGGTTTCACCAGACAGACAAGAAAAAGGGCGTGCTGGCAGAGGATGCAGAGCCTGCAGGCACAGAGACATGCTGCTAACCTTGAATTCAAGGTTCCTTTGGGCTACTACTTGCAGATGTGGCTGGTGGATTAAGCTGAAGTTATAAGAAGTTTTGGTTTCATCCTGCTCAGTGGAAAACTACTAGTTCAAAAGTAGAACTATTAAATATTCTTAAGCAAGGGACTAAAATAATTGAGATTTACAGTTGACTTTTGAACATGGGTTTAAACTGCATGGGTCCACTTATATGTGGATTTTTTTTTTTAAGATTTTTATTTATTTATTTGACACAGAGAGAGAGAGATCACAAGTAGGCTGAGCAGCAGGCAGAGGGGCGGGGAAGCAGGCTCCCCGCTGAGCAGAGAGCCCAATGTGGGGCTCGATCCCAGGACCCCGAGAGATCATGACATGAGCTGAAGGTAGAGGCTCAACCCACTGAGCCACCCAGGCGCCCCATGGATTTTTTTAAAAATACAATACTGTAAATGTATTTTCTCTTTCTCATGATTTTCTTAACATTTTTTCTCTGGCATACTTTATCATAAAAACAGAAAATATATGTTAATCAACTCTACATTATCAGTAAGTCTTCAACAGTAAACTATTAAAGTTTCTGGGGTGTCAAAAGTTATATATGAATTTTCGAATGCATGGGGTGTCAGCACCTTTAACCACTGTGTTGTTGAAGGATCGTCTGTACTTTTTAAGATCATTTTCAAAGCTGTACGAAGGTTGCATTGGGAAGGGTGATCAGAAAACCAATTAGAAGTTTACCGTGGTATTGTAGTGAGAAAGGAGATGGTATTCATGGAACCTCAAGATTTCCATGACTGAAAAGACCTTGTTTTATCAATGGGTCAAGAAGTATAAAAAGCCTTTATCAATAGAAAATTAAGAGTGAAATCAGAAAAAAAAATCAGTATGTTTAGGCACTTAAATAAAAACAGACCTTTTATGTAATGAATTCTCAGGTATCCAGGACTGATTCTCTACCAGATGAATTAGTTTATTGAAGAATTCAAATTCTTTTTTCTAACTTTGTAATTGCTTGATTTAAGTTCTTATATGTTTTGCCAGATGGTGGAAAGAGGAAAGGAAATGGAAAACAGTAAATTTAATCAATTTGGATCCCTGACTGCTGCTTACTATGGAGATTCAGGAAGGTGAGGGGCTCATTACATTGAAGTGTGTGGCTATCTGTCGAGTACATACACATACCCCTCATCTCCACAGAGAAATCAGAGACCATTGAAAGAGTAAATGTACATAAAGAATAATTAGCTTTTTGTGTTAACGCTCTAGAGTACTTTCCCACTTTTCCTATTAAAAGCTTTATCTGGTCCCTTCACCTGAATAATGTATGCAGCACTCATTTCTCTTTGACCAGATGGGTTCACAGCTTAATGAATACATCCTACAGCTGTGGTTTGATAGTCACTCTTTCTATTTCGTCTGGAGGATTGCTTATCAGAAGAACCGGAACAGCCAGAGCATTTCAGTCCGTCACTTGCTTGGCAAATGACGGCACATCTGGACTCTTGACTGCGTTCATCTGAGGCTAAAGCTATTCTCAGCAGCGCCCCCAAGGGAAGGAGAGAAATGCATTAATTGCCCTGATGCTGGTAACAGGTGTTCTCTTCAGCTCCCTAAATGCAAAGCCCTTTTGTCTTCTCACTGTAGAAGGCTCCTCGTCGTTAAGTGTGAATTCCCACTCTCGGAGCAAAACAACGCTGAAACGGCTGCAGTATTATTTTCAATGCTTTCTTGTTTCTTAGCTATTTACAGTCATATTTAGAAATATCCATTCACTTCCCTGTCGAGAAGGCGAGAAATATATTATGCTGATGAGACAAAAAACATCAGAAAACATGTGTTTTACTCTCTGTCTGGCCATCATGGACGAGGATGAGGAGGCTCTTGGCTTTTCCTTCAAAGAAAAGAATGTTTGAACGTTGTATTTTTTACCATTTCTTAGGCTCCCTAATGAAATCTGTTAATTTCCTATCGTTTAGAAGTTACCTGATACTTTAGTCCTCCTAAAACTAAAAACACTTTCTAATCAGGGAGTCTCTCCTGTTGCGGGCATGTTTGCCAAATTACCCAAACGCCGCACGTTCGTCCAGGTGAGACCAGGAACTCTGCAAAGCCGACAGGACAATCTGGGAGGTGAGTGCGCGGAAACTACATATCCCGCCATGCCTCGCTCATGAGCACAATGGAGCCCTGTCGTCATCCGTGTCACCGGGCTGCGCGTTCCGTGCGCACAGCCGGATTCCGGCCTGGGTGCCGCCCCGGGCGGAGGGCCCTCCTGGGCCGGGAAAACTGCAATTCCCGGCATGCGCTGCCACGGATGCGCCTGCGTACAGGAGCTACCGCGCCGGAGCGGGTTGGTTTAAAGCGCTGTGTTGGTTCCATGGAAACCGGCCTGACGGCGGAGGGACAGAGCTGCTGGCGGATACATGGAGTGTGAGGTAAGGCTCCCGGCCGTGGACGGGGTGCCAGCCCTGCGAGGGAGAGTTGGCGGCTCAGCCCAGACCCCCATCACCTCCTCCTGCCGCCCTCTCATCCTCTTGTCAGAGTTAAGCATCGCCCTCCGGACCTCAGGACCCTGATTTATGGCGCTTCTGCGCTGGATGCAGTGAAAACCGCTTAGGAGCTAAGTTTGCATTGGTCTGGCTCTGAGGGACGGAGGGCAGACGCCCGGGAAGACTTTCCGATAAGCCCCAATACCACTTTTCTTCGTATGTTAGGTTGGAGGTTATAGGTTCTTAGGAAAGCCATTTCGACGGTTTTTTTTTGGGGGGGGGGGGCGTTGTTTGTTTAATTTTTGTCACCAGTTATATCCCCGGATCTGCTTGTTAGAATGTAGTTGAACCGGCATTCGTTCATTGACGTTTTCCCAGTAGCTGGCACCTGTGCTGGCACAGGATGGATGTTCATGAAATTTTTGTTGAGTTTTCCGGTTCTTTGCCAGCGACGGTGCCCGTGCACTGTGCTAAGCTCTGAAGATAGGGAGAAATCAATCTGACCACCTCGGAGGACTCAGACTAGCTTGAACACCCACACACAACAAGTCCCCCTACTTGTTAATTGTGAGCCCCCAGGGACACCCCGTTCCCTCAGTCCTTTCTGTTCTCTGTTAGCCGGTCTTGTGGCTTTACCAGTGGCACGTATGCTGAGAATTATAAAATTTCTATCCCCAGCGCGCACTTCTCCTCTGAACTCTGAATCAACAAGTTCAGTCTTGTATGGGTCATATTTCCTGTTTTCAATTTAACAATTCCAAAACAACTCAATCTTTCATTAAAATTAACTCCTCTGACAGGCTTCCGTTGTCTCCATGAATGGCAGCAGCACCCTTCCAGTTGTTTCCTTGCTCTCATGTTTCCTATCAAATCGATCGACAAAACCAATCTTTAAAACCTGTCTGGGCTCTGACCACGTCTTACTCTTCTGTGGCTATCACCCCGCTCCTAGCCAGTGGCACTTGCTGCCTGGATTATTGTGGCAGCTTCCCAGCGGAGCTTTCTACCTCTGTGGTTGTCATCACACCCTCGTGGGAAGGTACCCAGAGTGATCCGGTCAAAAGGTAAGTTACATCACAGCACTCCTCTGCTCTGCACAGTCCAATAGCTCTGAGAGTCACTGATAGTAAAAGCCAAAACTTTACAATAGCCTTTAAGACCTCATGTGATCTGGTCCCTTTATCACCCTCTGACCTCACCTTCTAGAGTTCTCTCCTTCACTTACTCCTCTCCAGTCAGACTGAACCCCTTCCTGTTTGTAAGGATCTTTGTACTCACTGTGTACTCTTTCTGGACTTTTCAAAGTCACCTGGCTCTTACTAGTATATTACCTAAGACCTTGGTCTTGTTCACGCCATCCTTTCAATGAAGTAACCTACTTAGGAGCTGAATAAAATACTCTCCTAAATACAGAAACAGAATTGTATTAAATAATGATACCTTGATGAAAGTAGCTATGAATGCACTTTTCAAAACTAAAAGTTTATATCTTAGTATTTTTACTATCGTTACAATCAGGCATCAGGCCTTGGGTTCAAGACTACATTCAATGATATTTGCACCTTTTCAAAAACATCAAAGCACACGTAAGTCAAGCTAGAGTGTCTTTCTGCAATTAGCATATTAGCAATTAGCAGTTAGAGCTAGGTTCTTTTCCTGTAAGACTGTATGTACTTCTTAGACTACGAGCTTTTGAGCTGTGCTTTTGAGGATCTGCCACGTGGCCAGTGGACTGTGTGTGGGGCCTGCCAGATGAGGGAGGACAGAGAGATGGGAATCTGTATCCCATTCAAAATATATGGGAAACTTGTATTCCATTTCTTGTATTTTTTTCCCTTAAATGGACTAATGTTTGTATTAGTATTTTACGCTTGGCTTTTGATGTAAATTAACAGAGGCCACCCTTAATATTATAACCAGCTGCCTCAGCCTAACACAGTTGCCAGGGAAATGGTCCTCCCTCATATCTCTCGCAGTGCTTGTCCTTTCTTTTACCACTTCCTTCTACTTGTTTCTCCACCAACTGTTGCCTGGGGCTACTGTGTTTCAGGAACATTTTTGTTGCAAGGAACAGAAAAACATGACTAACACAAAAGGCAAAAGTTTATTTTTCTCAAATAAGCAGAGGTTGGTTGTTAATAGTTCTCCAAAAAAAAAAAAAAAAAAAAAAGAAAGAAAAGAAAAGAAAAAAACGAAAAAAGGTCAGGTTAATCTGAACTTCTCTGGCCTTTCCTTGTATTTCTCAGATGCTGGTGATCCGTGGCTCTGTTATTTATATCTAAAAGTGAGGCACTGCATGGCTGACTGAAAAAGAGCTCTGAGAGTTCTGGGCCTCCAATGTGGAATTAAAGGACCAATGCCATCATTTCAGGTTTTTTCCTATCAGAAAAACAAAAGCCTTCCCAGAAGCTCCTTGCAAACTTTTTGCCTAAAGCCTCATTCCAGAATGTGTCACATGGCTGTGCCAGCTGCAAGGGATGCTGGGACATGAAATTTTCAGCTTCTTTTATAGAGAGAACAAGGGAGCCAATTCTGTCTACACCAAACCTTACTAAACACTAAATTCTCTCCCTACTTCAAGCCTGGTATATTTCTAGGTGGGCAGTAACAAGACAGCAAGTGATAGAAAGTAGAAGGAAGGTAAACCCATGTGGTGTTTCTCCACTGTTACCCTTCTGTTTTTAACCCTGGTTTCATGGAGGTTCTTCCATTACCTGAGGAACACACTATCCTGGTACATGTGGTAGCATGAGCAGGAGTCTCCAAATCTGCCTTTTTTTCAGAAACCTAGATGTAACTTACTTCAAGTCTCTGTGTATCCAAAGACAGTTACTGTCTATATATACCTTTGTCTTTCTCTTCAGGAAATTTTGAAAGCATGATAGGAAATTAATAATAGCTTCTTTGCCCCCATGTCCTTAAGCTGATCATTAGCAGAAAATCTTTTAACAAATTCAGATTATATGTGTCAGAAATGCTTTCTGTTTCATAGAAGAGAACAAAAGAGAGAAATCCTAGTCAGAAGCACTAAAATAAGAGTAAAAAGAAAATTTGACCTACATCATTCCATTTCCCCCTCCCTCCAGCTCATTGTACTCTGTTTCTATGGAATCAACTTTTTTCTATTCTGCATATAAATGATATCAGACAATATTTTTCTTGCTCTGTCTGGTTTATCTCACATAGCTTAATGCCCTCTAGATTCATCTATATTGTTGTCAGTGGCAGGCTTTTCTTTTTATGGCTAAAATATATAATAATTTATATCACTTTTTCTTTGTCCATTCATCTGTTGAAGGACATTTGGGTTGTTTCTCTGTCTTAGCTATTATGAATAATGCTGCACTGAACATGAGTGAGCAGATAACCTCTTCAAAATCCTGCCTTTGATTCCTTTGGATATATACGAAGGAGTGGGATTGCTGGATCATATAATAGTTCTATTTTTAATTCTTTGAGGAACTTCCATAGTGTTTTCCATAATGGCTGTACCATTTTATATTCCCACCAACAGTATATGAGGGTTTGCTTCTCTCCACATCTTCACCAACATTTGCTATTTGTCTTTTTTTTTAATTTATTCTTTTAATCAATTATCTCTTCACATAGCAAATGTTTCTTAAGCATTTGAAATATAGTGCACAGTAGATGTTAAAATATATTACCTGTTACCAAGGAGTCTGGTAGAAATTTTTTTTTTTAAATAAAACTATAGCTTTATTTTTTTTTATACTACTCTTTTTTTTAATTTTTAAAATTTTTTAAAATTTCTTTTCAGAATTCATTGTTTATGTACCACACCCAATTCTCCATGCAATACGTGCCCTCCATAATACCCACCACCAGGCTCACCCAATCTCCCACTCCCACCCCTTCAAAACCCTCAGATTGTTTTTCAGAGTTCATAGTCTCTCATGATTCGTCTCCCTCTCCAATTTCCCCCAACTCCCTTCTCCTCTCTGTCTCCCCATGCCCTCCACGTTATTCCTTATGCTCCACAAAAAAGTGAAACCATATGAAAATTGACTCTCTGCTTGACTTATTTCACTCAGCATAATCTCTTCCAGTCATGTCCATGTTGATACAAAAGTTGGGTATTCATCCTTTCTGTTGGAGGCATAATACTCCATAGTGTATATGGACCACATTTTGCTATTTGTCTTTTTGATAATAGCTATCCTAACAGGTGTAACAGGTGTGAGGTTATATCTCATTGTGGTTTTGATTTGCATTTTCCTAGTGATTAGTGATGTTGAATGCCTTTTCATTGATCTATTGGCCATCTGTATGTTGTCTTTGGAGAAAATGTCTGTTCAGACTCTGCCCATTTTTATAAAATTTCTTTGCTTTTTTGCTATTGAGTTATATGAGTTTTTATGTATTTTAGACATTAATTGCTTATCAAATCTGTGGTATGCTATTATTTACTACCATTCTGTAGGTTATCTCTCCAGGTAAGTTCTGAGGATCTAATGTACAGCATGGTAACATAGTATGTTGTATAGTTGAAAGTTGTGAGAGTGGATCTTTAGCACACACACAACACACACAAAGTTAACTATGTTATTATCTGTGGGGGGTGATGAATGTGTTAATTATCTTGATCTTGGTAACCATTTTACAGTGTACATGTATATTAAATCATCACATGGTATACTTTAAATATACACAATTCAATTATTCCTCACTAAAGTTTAAAAAAAAAAAAGAAACTAGGCCATTCTCTGGGACCTTTGTGGGGGGATAAAAGGTGATCGGAGAGCTATTTCAAGAAATGTTCTTGATGTGGTATATATATACAATGGAATACTATGCAGCCATCAAAAGAGATGAAATCTTGCCATTTGCGACGATGAGGATGGAAGTAGAAGATATTATGCTTAGCGAAATAAGTCAATCAGAGAAAGACAACTGTCATGTGATCTCCCTGATATGAGGAAGTTGAGAGGCAATGTGGGGGGTTTGAGGGGTAGGAAAGGAATAAAGGAAACAAGATGGGATTGGGAGGGAGACAAACCATAAGAGACTCTTAATCTCATAAAACAAACTGAGGGTGGCCGAGGGGAGGGGGGCAGGGAGAAAGTGGTGGGGTTATGGACATTGGGGAGGGTATGTGCTATGGTGAGTGCTTTGAAGTGTGTAAACCTGACGATTCACAGACCTATACCCCTGGGGATAATAATACATTATATGTTAATTTAAAAAAAAAGAAATGTTCTTGATATTGGCAAGAAGCTCAGTCTCTTCACTACCCCTCATCATGCTTCTCACCCCTTTTAAATCCTGCCGTCAGTCTTCCCCCATATTTAATTCTTTCCTTGAGTGATGGAGACTGCTTTCAGTTACTTGGACCTGAGGTAGTCACCACTTCCACTGCCTGGGAAGTGAGGGGAAGAGAGATATCTGATTACACAGCAAATGGGAGAGAAAAAAATGTGTTCCTAATATCCAAAGTGGGATCTTTGTGAACATGTATCCGTAGGAGCACTGTTGCTAATAATGATTAAGGTTTATAGTTGGATTAGTATAGAAACATCTAGACAGGTTGGAGTTGCAGGAAAATGTCCTTAAAATTTCTTTCCCCAGTGACCTTGTCGTTGAACTTTGGGCCCATGATTCATCTATTTGTTGGGACTGCTTCTTCTATGCTAATTCTGCCTAATTCTATTACTAATATTTCAAAAAGTACTCTTACACAGTTTTGGGAGAGAAGACTGGAAATTTTATGTCAATAGCTACAGAAGAGTCTTTGCTAGGCTATGATTAAGTTTGCAAATTATTTTTTTAAATCACTGCTTCAGTGTAGTTGAAGCAAATGCTCAGAAGTCTAAGAAGTCTAGGATGTTTTTCTGAAAGTTTGCTTGGAATATGTTAAAATGATGATGGCTGCTAATGAAAGAAGTGATAATTCCCTTAGCCAAGTCATAGGTCCTAGTATGTGTCTAATAATAGCAGACAGGCTAGAATAGATTATGATGCAATAACAAACTACTCAACAATCTCAGTGGCTTCTAACAACACACACTTATTGCCCAGTCACACTGGATGTAATGGACAGGCCATAGCACTTCTTCATGTCTTCACTCTAGGATCTTGGCACACGAAGCTGCCCTATCTGGGTTGTTGCTCATCTCATGGAGGGGGAAAAAGAAGGAGATGATGAATGACAAGTTGGCTCTTAAAGTTTCCACCCACATTACATTGACCAAAACAAGACACATGGCCATTCCTGATTTCAACAGGACGGGGATATGTAATTCCCCCACGAGAAGGAACAATGACTATTTTGAACCATAATAAAACCTACTGTACTAATATTGTGACTTTAATCTCAGGTGCATATGGAAACTACAGTGTCCAGACCAGTCCTCTCTCCAACCCACATCAATGCTACAGCTTCTGAAACTTTCACGGTACTTCAGGAAAGGATGAGAATAGTTGAGGAACAGACCAGTTCTCTGAGGGATGACCTAATAATGTTGGACTTTGGTGAAAAAAGGTAACAAATGGAAAATGAACTAGATCTTTGTAGGCTGAAGGATTCTTAGGAGTCTTAGTGCAAATGGTTTGGCAGATGAAATTAGGTATTTATAAAAGAATTGAGAAAAAAACAGTTTCCATTTGAACATTAATTAGAACATTAATGAACACTTTCCATGTGAACATTAATTTGCAAGACAGAGTTGCCATCCTGTAGTAGAGCTACTACCACTTCTCCCCTGAACAGATATTTATTTATGTGAAGAGGTGGGGGAGGGGGGAATCGGGTAACTAGGTGATGGGCATTAAGGAGGGCACGTGATGCAATGAGCACTGGGTGCTATAGGCAACTGATGAATCCCTGACCTCTACCTCTGAAACTAATAATACACTGTATGTTAATTAATTGAATTCAAATAATATTTTTAAAGTGTGCTAACTAGGTACACAAACTGATAACCTGCTCACCTTCAAAACTTGGTTGAAAAGCAACATGAAATTTTTGTATAATGAGAAAAAATTTAGTTCTTATTTTTTAAATCAAAAATAGATGTTGGTATTAGTTAAGGTGAACATCTGAACTTGTTCATGCCATTGATAAGGTCTTCATTTTCTTTCCCCAGACTTACTGTAAATTAAAAGAAAGCTTTTAAGTCCTAAAAAAAAAAAAATTCAGAATTTAGAATGAGGTACTCAAAAAAACAAAAAACAAAACAACAACAACAACAAAAAAACCACCTTTTTTTCCCCTTGGCTAAAGAATGTATTGCCATTTAAAGCTGGATTACTAATGGCCTGAGGAGTCCGGGTGCTTAAGCAGCCAATCTCAAATTTGCTGGTGTGATTTGATTTTCTTTAGGATTACAATATATTTCCTTAGTGTGTCTCATGAAAACCTAAGATTATTATAGTTGGTATTATAGCACCCATAGAATGAATAATTCTTCAGTAGTTAAAGATTAAATTTGCATAGATGCTGAGTATGTTAGAAGTAGGAATGTTTATTATGATCTTATTTAAAAATTTTCTAAAAACGTGTGAATATATTGACTCCATGCTAACTTTAATTCTTAGTTTGTAATTATAGATTTTGCATTTAACATGTTTTATGTGCCACGTAAAAGTTTACAAAAAATTCACATTAAAAGAAACAACCGTTATAAAGTCAGTGGTCTTTATCCATCCGACATTAGTCTCATCCTCTTTACCTAATGGTGCTTTCTATATTTAAATCTGGAGAAGCTAACAGGTGCTTAACTAAGGAATCTAATTTTTAATTAGATTAGTTTTTTAGTAAGTTTAATTAGATTAATTAATTAATTAATTTTAATTAGATTAATTTTAATTAGAAATGTTACATTGACCTGATGGTGGGGATTACCATAGTACACATTGCATTGCTTAATATTGTTAAATTGGGATCTTTGTCCAGAGGCCAGCTGGAAAGTCCAAAATGTTTAGAAGAGCCTGTGAGCCAGAATATCATTAGTCCCATCCAGAATGAAGTGATTTGTTCAGGAAAACCAGATATTCTATGGAAGAACTGTGAGTTTTTGGTAAATCGAATGTGCCGTCTGGAAAGCCTCATCCAATCCTTAAAGATGAACATCTTTCGTCTGCAAACTGAAAAGGATTTGAATCCACAGAAAACAGGTACAGAGAGAAGAGAATCATCAGAAATTTGGTCCTGTATGGGTGCTTTATGAGTTTATGATTCTTTTTCCTTTCCTGACCTTCTTTCAACTGCTCCATGACCCTCCTGTGCTGTCGGGTAGCTTTCCTGAAGGACCGACTAAATGCAATACAGGAGGAGCATTCCAAGGACCTAAAGCTGTTGCATCTCGAAGTGATGAATTTGCGCCAGCAGCTGAGAGATGTGAAAGAGGAGGAAGACAAGGCACAGGAAGAAGTGCAAAGGTTGACAGCCACCTTGGAGATTGCCTCAGAGACAAAGGTTTGAACCCAGATTTCTGAAATACAGATTCACTGTTCTCTGTTAGCTGGAGGAGGCAACAGACCCATAATTGACTTTTTAAAAATAGGTGATAAGATGTGAGGATTCTTGACATTTCAGAGTCATCTGCATTGATAAACTATTATGCCCTCTCAGTAATGTGGTATTCCTAGAGCCCTTACCCTGTACGCATGAGAGTGGGAGTCCAAAAGTTATGAGGTAGAGTTTCTGCTCACCTAAGGCCAAATGCTTGTTGGAGAACAAGGAATATCATGAAAAACTAAATAGAGAAAAAATAAGGGCATAGGAATTGTTAAAGGACAGTGGAGAACAGTAAGTGACTGTTGACAAGTGTTTTGTGTTCAGGAAGGTCTGAGAGGGTGGGTATGCCCTATCTAGAGTAGATTAGGGAAGGCTTCAAGAAAGAGATATGAGCTGAACTTTTAGAAGGCCAAGTAGAGAGGTGAGGACATGTCAAGGAGTATGCACAGAGGCAGGGAAGAATATAGAGTAGGATGATAAGCTGACAATTCTGTTCCCCCTTCCGGGGCACGCAGCATGCTAGATGGTCAGCATGTTATTTTGTTTAATTTTTGAAAAACCTCATGACAGAATGATATTGTCCCCATTTTAGTAAAAAGAGCAGTGAGCCCCAAGAGAACTCGTGTCTCTCAGATCCCAATTCCCTGTCTTCTTCCTGTTACCCAGGTTTGAAGTTAGACCTCTGCACTGGTACAGTTAGAGGAAATGCATAAACTAGCCTGAGAGAAGTGAGGATTTTGGGTGGCAAATAAATTGGAAGTTAGCTAGGGATCACGTTAGAGAGGATTTCAAAATCAAGAATAATTAGGGCTTGATATTAAGGGGGTGATTATCATTTTTAATAAGGAAGTGACATAACAAAAACAGAAAAACTAATCTGGCAGTAGTCTAGAGTTTCAGGAAACCAATTAGGAGTCCATTGCATGATTTGAGGCACAAGCCTTATTAGGTCTGACTTAGGGGGGCATTTTGAAAAGAAAGGGATGTTTTATGAAGAAAGATACGCTAGAATATGGTACTGGACAGGAGCTGAGTATAGGACAGAAGGCAAAGATAACTGAGGTTTTACATCTTGGATTGTGGCACCATTAATAGTGACATAAAAGAGAATAAATAGTGAAAGCTATATTTTTGATCCTCCGCTCCTAAGCACAGATAACATTTGAGGCAAGAAAAGATTGAATACTTAAAAAAAAAAAAAGGAATATACTCTATAAGAAAAAGTTCTATCAATTACCGGATTTTCTCATTATTGAATTTTACATATAAAGTGAATGTGTTTGGGGTGCCAGGGTGGCTCAGTCAGTTAAGCATCTGACTCTTGGTCAGCATCAGCTCAGGTCATGATCTCATGCATTGTGAGATTAAGCCCTGCGTGGGGCTCCACACTTGGGGGGGGGTTTGCTTGAGGATTCTCTCCCTCTGCCCCTCCCCCAGCTCGCACATGTGCATGCGTTCTCTCTCTCTCTCTATTCTTTTATCCCTTTTTTTTTTTTTTTTTTTAAATATAAATTCAGAGGCATCTGGGTGGTTCAGTGGGTTAAGCCTCTGCCTTCAGCTCAGGTCATGATCTCAGGGTCCTGGGATGGAGCCCCACATTGGGCTCCCTGCTCAGCAGGGAGCCTGCTTCTCTCTCTCTCTCTCTCTCCTTGCTGCCTGCCTCTCTTCCTACTTGTGATCTCTCTCTCTCTCTCTCTCTGTCAAAAAAAATAAATAAAATCTAAAAAAAATAAAAAAGAAAATATAAATTCAATTAACATGGTGTATTATTAATTTCAGAGGTAGAGTTCAGTGATTCATCAGTTGTATATAATGCCTGGTGCTCATATCATGTGCCCTCTTTAATGCCCATCAGCAGTTACCTTATCCCCCCACCCATCTTCCCTTTAGCAACCCTTAGTTTGTTTCCTATAGCTAACAGTCTCTTATGGTTTATCTCCCTCTCTGATTTCATCTTACTTTATTTTACCCTCCCTTCCCCTATGTTCATCTGTTTTGTTTCTTAAATTCCATATATGAGTGAGATTATATGATAATTGTCTTTCTCTGATTGACTTATTTCACTTAGCATAATACCCTCTGATTCTATCTACTTTGTTGCAAATGGCAAGATTTCGTTTTTCTGATGGCTGAGTAATATTCCATGGTGTATATATACCTTTATCATCTTTACCCATTCATCTGTCAGTGGACATCTGGGCTCTTTCCATAGTTTGGCTGTTGTGGACATTGCTGCTATAGACACTAGGGTGCAGGTGCCCCTTCCATCACTATGTTTGTATACTTTGGGTAAATACCTAGTAGTTCAGTTGCTGGACCATAGGGTAGCTCCATTTTTTTTTTAAGATTTTATTTATTTATTTGACAGGCAAAGATCACAAGTAGGCAGAGAGGCAGGCAGAGAGAGAGGGGGAAGCAGGCTCCCTGCTGAGCAGAGAGCCCAATGTGGGGCTCTGTCCCAGGACCCTGAGATCATGACCTGAGCTGAAGGCAGAGGCTTTAACCCGCTGAGCCACCCAGGCACCCCAGTTAGCTCCATTTTTAACTTTTTTGAGGAACATCCATATAGTTTTCCGGAGTGTCTGCACCAGCTTGCATTCCCACCAACAGTGTAACAGGATTCCCCTTTCTCTGTATCCTCGCCAACATCTGTCATTTCCTGAGTCGTTAATTTTAGCCATTCTGACAGGTGTGAGGTGGTATCTCATTGAGGTTCTGATTTGTATTTCCCTGATGCCAAGTGATGTGTAGCATATTTCTGGGTGTCTGTCGGCCATTTGTTTATCTTTGGAGAAATGTCCGTTCATGTCTTCTACCCATTTCTTGACTGGATTATTTGATTTTTGTGTGTTGAGTTTGATAAGTTCTTTATAGATTATGGATACTAGCCCTTTATTTGATAAGACATTTCCAAATATCTTCTCCCATTCTGTCGGTTGTCTTTTGGGTTTGTTGACTGTTCTCTTTGCTCATCAAAAGCTTTTTATCTTGATAAAATCCCAATAGTTCATTAAAATAAATAAATCTTTTTAAAAAAATTAAAGGGAAAATAATAGAAGTAATGAATCAAGGTAATAACTTTCTTTTTAAAGATCTCATTATAATAATTATTTTAGACTCATAAAAGAAGTATTTATAACCATATTCAGAATAGCATTTATAGGTCACTAGAAAAAAAGTCTAGATTTGAACTGATGTGCCTATAGACAGTTTCTTTCTTCATTTCAGATTATTTAGAACCTTTTCCCCTTGTACTTTTAGAAGAATGCAGCCATTATTGAAGAAGAATTGAAGACCACAAAACGTAAAATGAACCTGAAAACTCAGGAGGTAAGATTAAAAAAGGTTCTGGAGGGTGGAGGGGGCGTTGGAATTGCTGAGGGGAAGTCAGGAAAGTGGAAATCATGAGAAACTTTGAAGAAGAAAATATGTTACTGTGGAGTAGGAAGATTTTAAAAATATGCCACATGTAATTCAAGTGAAAGTGGCTACACTTATTTGACGTTGAGTTCCTTTTGCCTCAGAATGGCCCTACAACCAGAAATAAAGTCAGTGCTTTGTGAGCCAGGAAGGAAATTAGTTACCACAAAATTCATGTGCTAGAGCTAAGTGAACATCTTCAATACAAAGACCTTTTAAACGAAAGTTGTGTTTAAAACAAAAAGCTTTTAATAAGACCACTCGTCTAATTTTACCTTGAAAACCTCCCTTTCAGCCCAAGTTTTAGTAGATAACAGATTGGGAGTTGTGAAGTAGGTGGCTGCTAAAAGTTGCTGGACTGAAAAATGGCAGCTGAAAACAGTGGAAGAGTCAGGAGAATTAGTAATCCAACACCCCCTGGCCCAAAAACCTCAATATTCCCTGGCGGGATAATCATGATGTCCATCCAAATCAAAAGGACCCAATTATATTTAAAATACTAAGAAGTAGATATGCCTTTTGAAGAAAATTCTCACGTGAAATTACTTCTTAAGTTATGGTTTTTAGTGCTTAAGGTGTGAAGTATAGCTATCTGAAAAATTCTCTTATGTACTTTGCCAGTAACTACTGATAAAATCATGAATTTTCATAGAATGTATTACATTTCATATAATTTTTTTTAGTTTTCAGATATTTTAGTAGACTTTTTTTTTTTTTTACAGAATTTTCACATTTATAGAAAAATTGCACAGAAAATAGTTCTCATAAACCTGCTCTCCCCATCCCTCCAATTTCCCCTATTATATTAGTGTGGCACATTTGTTAAATTTGATGAACTAGTATTCAAAATTGATAAGTCATTATTAGCTGAAGTCCGTAGTTTATATTAAGATTCACCCTTTCTTCATTACATTATCTTACAGAATATTATCACTCCCCTAAAAATGCTCTCTGCTCCATATACCCACCCCTTTCCCCCTCTCTTCCTGAGCCCCTGGCAACCACTGATCTTTTCACCCTCTGTAGTTCTGTTATGGTTGGAACGATTCAGTGTGTGCTGGTTTTGGACTGGCTTCTTTAGCATATGCACGTAGCATACCTCCAAGTCTTGTCATGGTGTGGTAATTCATTGCCAAACAATATTCCATTGTATGGATGTACCACAGTTTGTTTTATCCATTCATCTATTGAAGAACATCTTGGTTGCCTCTGAGTTTTGGCAACTGTGAATAAAGCTGTTATAAACATTCACATGCAGGTTTTTGTGTGGACATGTTATCTACTCATTTGGATAATACCTAGAGCACAATTGCTGGACCATCTGGTAAGCTTTTGTTTACCTTTGTAAGAAACTGCCAACCTGTCTCAAAAAATGGCTGTACCATTTTGCATTCACACCAAAAATGAGTGAGTTCTTGTTGTTGCACATTCTCATCAGCGTGTTGTCAGTGTTTTGAATTTTTGCCATTCTAATATGTGTGTAGTGATATCTTGTTTTAATTATAATTCCCTAATGACATATGATATTGAATATCTTATATACTTATTTGCCATCTGTATATCTCATTTGGTGAAGTGTCTGTGAGATCTTAAAATATGCTTATTTCGTAATTGGGTTGTTTGTTTTCTTATGTTGAGTTTTAAGAGTTCTTTGTATATTTTGGACCTAGTCCTTAATCAAATATGGGTTTTTTTTCTCCATTCTGTAGCTTATCTTTTGCAGGGCAGAAGCTTTTAATTTTAAAGAAGTCCAACTTACTCATTTTTTCGTTGAGAGATTGTACTTTTGGTGTTATAAGTCATCACCAAACCCAAGGTCACCAAGATTTTTCTCCTGTGTTATTTTTACAACCCTTATAGTTTTGCATTTTACACTTAGATAAATGATACACTTCAAATTAATGATGTGAGGTCTGTATCTAGATTCTTTGTGTGTGTGTGTGTGTGTCCACTTGTTCCAGCAACCATTTCTTTAAAAGACTATCAGTGATTACCATTTATCATTACTATTTATTAGAGAAGTCTTAATTCTGAGAGCTGTGATAAAATATTGAATTTTCTTTCTTTTTTTAAGATTTTATTTATTTATTGGACAGAGATCACAAGTAGGCAGAGAGGCAGGAAGAGAGAGAGGGGGAGGCAGGCTCCCTGCTGAACAGAGAGCCCAATATGGGACTCGATCCCAGGACTCTGAGATCATGACCTGAGCTGAAGTCAGAGGCTTTAACCCACTGAGCCACCCAGGTGCCCCAAAATCTTGAATTGTTATTGAACCCTGTCAAGGACCAGTAGAAGGACTGTCCTATCCAAAATGCTTTTTGGTATTCAAGCAAGAGGGATATATTAGTTTGTGAGGGTCTGTTGTTTAAGACTGGGTGGCTTAAACAACAGAAATTTCTTACATTTCTGGAGATTTAAGTTCCAAGATCAAGAGGTCAGCAGGTTTTTTTCTCCTGAGGCTTCTCTCCTTGACTTGCAAACAGCTGCCTTCCCATGGTCCTCACATGGTCTTTGCTTTGTGTGTGCACATCCCCGGTGTCTTCGTGTGTCCCACGAAGACACCTTCTCTTATAAGGACACCATTTGGGTTGGATTAGGACCCACCCTCACAGCATCCTTATAGCTCATCACTTCTTTAAAGGCCCTGTCTCCAAATGCAATCATTTTTTGTCATACTGGGGTTAGAGTGTCAATATTTTTGGGGAATACAATTCAGCCCATATCAGGGGGCTGTATAAAGGCAGAATAAATGTGGTATATATCTTCTTAAAAGGTAAGATATATATATAAAATCTGGTTCTGATAAACATAAAGCTGGTTGCTTTTAATAATGCTTCAGAATTAATACCTCAATAGTATAATTATCAAATAAAGTTTCCTCTGTAAAGGACTTAAATTATATCTCAAGTACATTTTACTATGTAATTTGATCCAGAGCTTAGAAAACTATAGTAAGCTACTCTGTATTACAAAGTAATTATAATTTGATACTATAGTTAGTATTAGATTATTAATATGCACCAAAACAAAAACTGGTTAATCCTTAAATAAGATTAGAATACTTAACTGATAATGATGATGAAGGATAAGGAACTTCTAAACTTGAAATGAAGGAACAGAATTATAGAAAGTTCAATAGATTTGAGCACGTAAGAATTAAAAATTCTACATGTAAAAAAGGGGGGCAAAAAACAAAACTAGGAAAATCTAGCACAACTAGATACAGTTAACAATCTTCCCTTGTAAAGAACTTAAAATTAACAAAAAACAAAAAACAGTGGTCAACTAACATTTTTAAAAAATATATAATGCCTCAGAAAATATACAGAGCTAATAACCATATTAGAAAATGTTTAATCTCACTAGTAACCAAAGAATGAAAAGCTGTCAAGATGTTATTTTTAATTTATTAGATTAGCAAAGATTTAAGAAAACAACAATACATAGTACTGATGGGATTTATTCTACTATTACCAACCGGCTAAAATTGGAAGGAAATTTATACTACTATTGATAAGCTAAAATTGGAAGGAAAATTATATACCAAATTTATCAAAAGTCTAAACACTATTAAGCCTTTAACCTAGGGTTTCCTCTTGTGGAATCAGAAATGCAAAGAAAGATTTATTCACAGGCATGTTCAACAGAACAATATTTAGAATAGTGAAGAACTGGAAAAACCTTTGATATGGGGGTATGATTAAGAATATTATAGAACTTTTGCGAAATGGGCTGTGATGTAAGTTTGATGCCAACACACTTTTCATGTCTTTCAACTTTTCAAAAAGTTTTTAAACATAAAATATATCATCCATAGAGAAAACACATGTAAAATAAATATGTACAATTTAGGAAAAGACCTATAAAATGTACTCTTACATTATCTTCACTGGGGCTTAAAAACAATTTCTTTTAACTTAACACCACTTCATAAAAGGAATAGCATTTGGCAATTCCATTTAAGTTTGAAATGATCTCTTTACCTCATGAGAAAAGAGATTCTTTTTTATATCTTTATCTAATTCATTGTCATTTATGGAGAGAAACAAGGTTAGTGTACCCAGTTCTTGAGTGGTGTTTTTAATCCACTACTTTTAACAGTTACTTCATTATTTCCTTAGACCTTTTCATTCCAAAACAGAATTGGAACACGTTTCAAAGCTATGTTTATAATCCTATGGGATAAAAAATATTAAAAAAAAATAGGGAGATAAACTAATCAAATATAGAAAAATAGGAGTTGAAAGTCAGAAAATACAGAAGTTCGTATATACTAAGGTGTGATATTAATGTTTTTCATCCTTTTTTGACAAGTCTGTTGTGAGACATACTGTCACACCATACATAAATAATATACACAAACATCTAATGAAGTATTACTTACCCTTCTTCATTACATGCTGTATGCTCTGATATTTTCCCCCCTTTTAAAGTGCTGCTTGCAACTTACTAACGTGTCTTGACCCACAATTTGGGGGAAAAAAAAGACCAGTGGGAAGACCGAGGCAGCGGATTTGATGCTTCCTTTCTTAGTAGTTTATCCCTTAGGGAGAAACTCCAGCTTGTTTCTGAGCAGTCATTAATGAATGAAGAGTGTCTGGGAGTGAAATAGCATGTCTAGTGAACTTTTCGTGGTGAGTCTGATCTTGGGTGCTGTGATGTTCCTTTGGTCTTGCCTAACTGCAGTTTCTTCTGTAGCTACGGAGACAACTGTCTCAGGAGAAGTACCTAAGGGAATCTCTGGAGAAATCTGCGTCAGCCATGCTTTTCAAAATACAAGAAATGGAATCCACAGTGGAGGTGGAACGGAAACAGGTAGATTTTTCTCCCCTTATGTCAAGGAAGTGAACCCAAAGATAAAGCTGATATTTTACCTATAAGTGTTTAGTTTTGCTAATATTCTCTAGATCAAATTTTTGCCTGTAGTATTACTTGAAATACCTGCATGTAATTTAGACTATTCAGTTCTAAGTACTGAAGGCAGTTAGTAGTTCCAAATTCTGATAACCTGTATTTGGATTACATAATCTTTACTTTAACCAATGGCTGTCCTTCATAATAAAATTATTTTAAAAGGTTCTACTTAAATACTAAATAAAGGTTCTACTTAAATTTTTTTTTTTTCATTTTTTAAGAGTTTTTTGTTTGACAGAGAGAGTGTGAGAGACCATAAGCAGGGGGAGCAGCCAGCAGAGGGAGAGGGAGAAGCAGGCTTCCCACCAAGCCGGGATCCTGCTGTGGGGTCTGATCCCAGGATCCCAAGATCATAACCTGAGCAGAAGGCAAACGCTTAACTTACTGAGCCACCCAGGCGCTCCTACTTGAGGAATTTGTAAATGATCCTTTGTTGCTCTAACTTGTGCCACCAATATAGTAGCTACTAGCCACATGTGGCTATTTAAATTTAAATTAGTTAAAATTAAATAAAATTCAAATTCAGTTCCTCAGTCACTCTGGCCACACTTCAAGTGCTCAGCAGTTACTTGTGCCTGGTACGTGTTGTGTTGGAAAGTGCACAGAAAGTTCTGTCGGATGGCCCTGCTGTAAAACACTGCACCTTGCTGAAATCTTAAATGTAATGTAGAAACTCCCCTTCTCCCTCCAGTGATGTGTAGATAGGAAAATCTGCCTTACACATGTGCTCTGAGGTGGTTTGGTAGAAATCTTGACCTTGAAGAAAGGACTTTTTCTTCCACATTTCAGGTGCAGATTTTGCAGCAAAACTGCGTTGCCCTACGCAGTTCTATACAGACCACCCAAGATCTGCTGGCACAGGAGCAACAGAAAAAAGGAGAGTTGGAGACTTCTATCTCTCAGCTCAAGTCTGACCTAAGTATGAAAATAGATGCTAGAAATTACATTTCTGTTAGGTGCTTTTGAGATATCATGCAAAAACTCTTAAGATCCAAAGTTCTGGAAGAGGCCATTGTTACTGAGATTTACCACAGGACCACAAGTAAAAAATTGTTGATTGCCTTTTTTCTGTGGCACTGAAAAAAAAAAGTGTTGGTAATAAAATAGAATTCGATCTTCTCAACTGTAGACTGTTCTATATATAAATTCTTTCTCAGATTTATTTAAGTGTTCATGGACTTGGGAATACTGGGTTTCTAGAAATCTAGATTGAATATTGGATAATAGAATATTAATAAGGAAATAAGGCCTTTAATACTTGCTAACCTGACTCTAACCATTTATCGTGTCAGGCTCCCATTTTTCAGGTTGCCAGTCTATTGATCTGTATTTGTATCAGTGGATGGTTGTAACTTACCTTAGAGCTTAATGTCCTCATTTTACAGATGGGTGCACAGAGTCCTTACAGGTGACTGAGCCAGGAAATGGATGAGTCTCGTCGTGATCCCATGTTGTTCAGTCATGGTTCTTCCAACCCACCAGTCCTTGCCATATTTACTCTTGTTTGTTTGTTTGTTTGTTTTGTTTTTTAAGATTTTATTTGACAGATGGAGATCACAAGTAGGCAGAGAAGCAGGCAGAGAGAGAGGGAGGAAGCAGGCTCCCTGCTGAGCAGAGAGCCCCGCGGGGCTCGATCCCAGGAATCTGGGATCATGACTTGAGCTGAAGGCAGAGGCTTTAACCCACTGAGCACCCAGGCGCCCCTTTGCTATTGTTAATATATAGTTGTAAAGCAGTTTCAGCCAGTATCAAATATAGGGATCACACTGCAATGCTTCACACGAGTAACACTTCATGGTTTACATAGAGCTTTCACGAAAACGATCTCTGTAACATGCTAAACTATCCATACTTCCCAAAGTTAAAGCAAGGCCTGAGCCTGTATCTTCTAGATCCAGTGCTCCTGCCAATGTGCCTTCTATGCTCTCTGGCTGTAGTGAGGGCAGGGAATACCAAAAGGGAAATAAAAATTTTAAAAAGCATGGAACAAAGAGTAATCTGTTCAGTGTTTTGTTTTCCTGCTTTTAACAGAAAGTACTGTTTTTCTTATAGTTGTTGATTAGTGAATTACTTGTGGAGTTCTCACTGTTAATGTCCCAAGATAATTGTCCATCTTCCTGTGATTGTGTGGCTACCAAAAATACATGTTATATTTGATGGTGCTGCCACATTATCTCATTTGACCTTACAACTTGCAAGAAAGATAAGAAAATATACCCCATTCTGTAGAAGCATAAAAAGGTCTGTATCTAAGGACCCATGGCAAATAGGACAGCTAGGACTAAAACACAGATTTTTCTATTATAGGAGTAATTGAAAAAAAAAATTTTTTTTTTTAAGATTTTATTTATTTATTTGACAGACAGAGATTACAAGTAGGCAGAGAGGCAGGCAGAGAGAGAGGAGGAAGCAGGCTCCCCGCTGAGCAGAGAGCCCAACGCGGGGCTCGATCCCAGGACTCTGAGATCACGACCCGAGCTGAAGGCAGAGGCTTTAACCCACTGAGCCACCCAGGTGCCCCTAGGAGTAATTTTTTTTAATGTTACTTTTTCGTTGGCTAAGTGCTTTTGTTTTGAATTTTATAAAGAATATATGGAAGACCATTTAAAAAAATGAAAATTAAATATTAATTAAAACTAACACAAGGAAAAGGAAGCCTGAATACCAACAATATGTTTATATTGAATAACACTCTTTACATGCATGCAATTTGATTACTTTAAGATATAGTTATGCTAACTAGATTAATAAAAGGAATGTCTCTAGATATTTGCTTTAATGAATTTAAAAATGTAATTATTAACAATAAACTTTTATATACACACAGTAACATGATGAAATTGTTCTCCCAAGTAAGATAAACATTCCCCTTTCATTCTGACTTTGATTATTGGAACTTTTAAAATGGATCATATAATAATCCTTTTTATCCTTAACATATTTTAGATGAACATTTACCTTATTTAAAATGAGTCTTGGACTTACATACTCAAAAATTATAGTTTTTCTGATTATATTCTACATAAAATGTGAGGTTCTATGTGTTTTGTAATTTTCTGGCTTTAGACTATTTAAGTGAAACAAAACTAATAGATCTTTATCAATTTTTCACAAAGCCAAAACATTACTCTCAGAAAAGTTTACTTTGGGCTACTAGTGCACAGTGCCAAACTGTTCCCCTGTTTCTGTCTTTGGTTTTATTTTCACTGTATATACTCTCCGGGTGGTTTCAAATCTTTTTTTTTTCTACATACGATCCTCTTCCTGAGCTCCAGACAGTATCTTAGTGCCAACTAGACATCAGTATACGGATGTCTTACAGAGACCTGCAAACACACGGTAAATACTTAAATACTGCAATCATTCGTACTAGTTCTGTCCCCCGAACCTGCTTCTCATCCTGTATTCCCTACTTGAAGAGCCTACCACCCACCCCATTGCTTACATCTGGACACGAGATTTTCTCCTTGACTCACGTGTTGCCTTTACCCCAGCAGCCAGCTGCCACGTCCTGACCGTCCTCCCTCCTTGTTGAATTTCCAGAGTATGTTTTCCCTCCGCATCCCCATAGCCCTTCCCTTAAAGCCACCTTTCATTGTTTTATACTGTGGTAACTGCTCAGTTACTAAACTAATTTCCTCTTCCTTACTGAGCCTCTGCCAGAGTGTTCTCGCTAACAAAAACCCTTGATCAGGTGCCTCTCCAGTTTAAAATCCCTCAGACTCATCAGCCTCCCTGCCTGCTGTAAAATCTGACCTCATTTACTATCGCATGTGACTGTGCACTCTTTTCTTGATAATTTCATGACTTAGTTTTCAGTCTATAAAGATATGGTAGAAATACTTGCATTCTCCTTATTTTCACAACATACAGACTGGGGGAAAAAAAGAAAGCAAGCTGCTCCGGGAGAAGATACTATGTGATTTCAATGTCGTTGTAGTAAGTTATTATTACCATAGTTATGTGGACTCTCTGTTTTTAGTTTCTAGAGATGAGGTCATTTCCAAGTTGGTTGAAGAAAATAAGGTAAGTTTTGAGGTTGTAGAGTTCAGAGATGTTCTTTTCTCTTTCACTAAGTAGTATTTCCTCAGTCATGTTGGTTTGCAGTTGTTCTGAGTCTCCTGAAATCCTTACTAGAAAAAAGTTGCAGTGTAAATGTCGTATGTTCAGACCTGTTGTCAGCTGGGTATTAAGAAGTCATTTCAGCAGATTATTATGGTTTGAAAAAAAGATGAGTTAGCAAAAATTATGAGATGAATTTGCATCTTATCCTTATTGTAAAATAATTGCTATAAAATTTATGAAATATAAAAAATATTTACTACTTTTGGTTACTATAAGAAATAGTAACAATAATGTGAATATACTTAACACCACTGAACTTAACACTTAAATATTTTTAAGTGAACTGTACATTTAAATTGATTAAAATGTGAAAATTTTTTTTTTTTAAGATTTTAATTTATTTGACAGAGATCACAAGTAGGCAGAGAGGCAGGCAGGGGCGGGAGGGGAAGCAGGCTCCCTGCCGAGCAGCGAGCCCAATGCGGGGCTCAATCCCAGGACCCTGGGATCATGACCTTAGCTGAAGGCAGAGGCTTTAACCCACTGAGCTACCCAGGTGCCCGTAAAATGTGAAATTTTATGTTACTTATATTTTATGAAAATAAAAAATGAAAAAAAAAAAGGAACTATTACCACTTTTATATCTTAATACATTTCTAAATCAACCTTAATGTGTAGATCCTGTTTGGAATAATTTTTCTGGGTTCTATCTCACCCTGTAGTAGGTGATGTTTAAGTCTTGAGATGCTTCTCCTGGAAAAATAGAAGAGTGGTCCTCTCTATAGGGAGAGGACTTGCACTTTGCCCTTCCCCATTTCAATAACAACCTGTTAGAGGGGAAAAGTAGTTCATATCCCTGTCACCTATTTGTTTGTTTGTTTTTAGAGCAAAGGTGTTTTCTTTTTTTCCACACTCAGGTAATCCTTGATGAAAACATTTTCACCTACATAAAACTTTAAAAGATCTTTGAATGTGTTTGAAATCACAAAAGATAACTGCTTAGGGGAAGAAATGTGTATGTAGTATAACAAATATTCATCTTAGCAGAACTTTCTTGACCAGAATGCTGCTTAACTATTTACATTATGGTTTTAGGCAAATTCTTTCCAGTTTGAAGCACCATATGAGAACATTTTAATTAACAGTTTTTATAATTTATGGGGGAGCCAGGTGGTGGGTATTATGGAGGCACGCATTGCATGGAGCACTGGGTGTGGTACAAAAACAATGCTGTTACGCTGAAAAGAAATTTAAAAAAAAAAAAAGAAGTTTGAGAGTTGAAGATATCAGGATTTTTAAAAATTCTTTACAAGATGCTTATCTATAAATATCATTAGTACTAGAGCACTGGATATAATACCAACTAATGAATCTTTCAACACTAAATCAAAAACTAATGACGTACTATATGTTGGCTAATTGAACATAACAACAACAACAACAACAACAAAAACACAACAAACTTGAACTCATAGTAGCCAAAATACAGAGCAGGTATTTTGATAGAGATATTCATAATAGCTCTTACATGTTAAAAAAAAAAAAAAAAGAGAGAGAGAGAGAGAGAGAACTTATTATTTTTGCTCTTACAGAATGTGCAGATGTCTTTGAACAAGGAACATGAAGAAAATGCATATTTGAGGTCTGAATTAGTAGCCCTTCATGAAACATCAGAAAAAGCACAGGTAGATCTTATTTCTACAGTTTTTAGATGTTAGTTAATTTTGTTTAATTAAGAAATCAACAAAGATTAATCCTGATTATATTAATTCATACTATCATGATAGGTATAATTGGTATATAGCATTATATTTCAGGTGTACAACATAATGATTCAATATTTGTATACATTGCAAAATGGTCACAGTAATTCTAGTTAACATCTGTCACCATATATAGTTGAAAAAAAAATTTTTTTAAGATTTTATTATAACTAGAGGTTTATACCTTTTGACCCCTGTCACCATTTTCTCCCATCCCTTATACCTGCTGCCTCTGGCACCTATCTTCCTGTTCTGTGTATCTGTGGACTTGGTATCATTTTTTTGTTTTTTGTTTTAACATTCCACATGTAAGTGAGATTATATGGTATTTTCTTCCTCTGCTTGACATATTCCATTTAGTATGCATTCAAGGTCCCCCCATGTTGTTGCAAATGGCAAGAGTAAATTCTTTTTTGTGGCTGAATATTATCTATCTATAACTATATGCACACACATACCACATTTTCTTTATCCATTCATGTATTGATGGACACTTAACGTTATTTCCATATCTCGTCTATTGTAAATAATGCTGCAGTGAATGTAGGGTTGCAAATATCTTTTTGAGTTAGTGTTTTTGATTTCTTCATGTGAATGCCCCGACGAGCAGTTGCGGGATCATACGGTAGCTCAAGTTTCAACTTTCTGAGAAACCTCGGTACTGTTTTCCTCAGTGGCAGTATCAATTTACGTTCCCTTCAACAGTGCCCTAGGATTCCTTTTCCTCCACATCCTCTCTAATACTTATTATTTCTTGTCTTTTTGGTAATAGCCATTCTAATAGGTGTGCGGTGATACCTCGTTGTTGTTTTGATTTGCATTTCCCTGATTAGCGATGCTGAACATCTTTTCGTGTACCTCTTGGCCATCTGTATGTCTTTTTTGAAAAATGTCTGTTCAGATCTTTGGCCCATTTTTTTTTTTAAAGATTTTATTTATTTATTTGACAGAGATCACGAGTAGGCAGAGAGGCAGGCAGAGAGAGAAGGGGAGGCAGGCTCCCCGCCGAGCAGAGAGCCCGATGCGGGGCTCGGTCCCAGGACCCTGGGATCATGACCTGAGCCGAAGGCAGAGGCTTTAACCCACTCAGCCACCCAGGCACCCCATTTGGCCCATTTCTTAATCAGATTTTTTTAAGCTACTGTGTTTTATTCTTTATATATTTTGGGTATTAACCCCTTATTAGATATATGATATTAATACATGATTGCCAGTATTATCTCCCATTCAGCAAGTTGCCTTCTCATTTTGTTGATGGTTTCCTTTGCTGTACAGAAGCTTTTTAGTTTGATATAGTCCTATTTGTTTATTTTTGCTTTTAGTGTGAGACCAAGAAAAATACTTATGTTTTCTTCTAAAAGTTTATGGTTTCAGGTCTTATGTTCAAGTCTTTGATCCATTTTGTTAATTTTTATGTATTGTACAAGATAGTGGTCTAGTTTCATTCTTCTTCATATGCTGTCTAGTCTTCCCAACACCATTAATTGAAGAAACTGTCCTTTCCTCATCAAAAAAACACACAGGTAAATCTTCCAATTTTTGTGTTTACATGTTAACATAATTTTGTTCAGTTAAAAAAACCAAGAACCAAAATTGATTCTAATTGTATGCATTCATACCACTGCCATGATCCATTTTTTAAATTTTCTTAAAATCTGTTTCATCTATGAACCATTATCACATTAACTACATTTCCCATTTTACCAAATCTCCTGTGACACATAAGTATATGAGATATACTGCTAAATTATGCACTAATCTATACTTTGCCTTTGTCTGCTTTATATTTTGCTCATTAAATACATAGCTTTCATCTACACCTATGAAATTCTAAGCAGTCCAGTGCTACAGGCTGTGCTTATACTTTCTTTGTATCTTTTATAACAAATAGCGTAGTAGGAACATAATAAGTGCTTACTGGATTTTAGAGTACTGTGTATTATTTTCTGTAGGATGGTGGTTGCAAAATTTAGCTAATGGTGTGTGTGTGTGTGTGTGTGTGTGTGTGTGTGTAGGCAAACAAGTTATTTCTCATAGGGTCAATGAAATCATATTAATCACTTAAAAGAACTTTTTGTTCTTAAGTATAATTTGATTGCTTCAATGTTGGGATCATAATGTTGCCGTGCTCTTTATGATAAAGGAAATAGAAAAAAAATGTGTTATTTTATAAAATAATAATGAAAATTACTACTCTTGCTATGGTAGTAGTAATTAACATTTACCAAACTCATTCTATGTTCCAGGCATAATTATAAGCACCTTATGTTACTAGCAAATTGTAATCCTTATAATAGCACTATTACAGAAACTTATTATTCTCATTTTAATGATAAGGAAGTTGATATATACAGAGAGGTTCAATAACATAGCTAATAAATCACAGAGTTAGAATTTGAGCTCAGGCATTTTGGCTCCAAAGAAAATTAACTATTTCTTTTCAAGGATCAAGAGTTTATCTTTGTCTTACCCCTAGGTATTCCTTGGTGAATAGTTTGTACATCTGGTTATAATTTTCAAATGCCCCTGAATGTGTTCCTTCCTTCTTTACTATACTACCACTTATGCTTTCCAGATAGTTTTTCATTTCTTTACTTTCTTAACATTTTTTGAGTGTTTTTTTTTAATTGATCCTATAGTTATTTGTCCCCATTCTTGAAGAATTTGTTCATTAAAGGTAAGATGCCTGGGGTGCCTGAATGGCTCAGTCTAATGAATACCCAACTCTTGATCTTAGCTCAGGTCTTGATCTCAGGGTCATGAGTTCATGCCCTACATTGGGCTCCACACTGGATGAGGAGCCTACTTAAAAAAAAAAAAAAAATCCTTGGCAAATACACTTTGCAAAAATAACTAATAAGATAAATGTTTTCCACAGGAATAAAAATTTCAAATGTCAAAAAGACAACAGAATTATATGATAGATTCCTTGCACAAAAGATCTTAGTTTTAATTTGGATGATCTGTCTTGTGAAAAGGTACAATTATCTATATTTTGCTGTTGTGGATACTGTAATTGGTGATGAAAGAACTTAGACAATTTGTATTATTTGCTAAACAATTCTGAACGCTCAACTAATTGTGGGACTGAATTTCTGTAGTACTGGCTAGGCATCTACAATGTGAGGTCCATTCTGTAGATGTCTTGCTCTGTCTCAACAGTGTTCAAAATCGTGAACAGGAGATCAGCTAACTGTTGAACGCTTCGGTCACTCCACCAAATAAACAAATTTCTCCTTTTGATTGAGAATTATGTGGGGTATTGACTCCAAATATTAGAAAGTATTATCTAATGAAATACCAGTTGGAGATAAGTAAATTAAGTTCACATACAGAGTGAAATACTATAACATCATTAAAAATGTGGTAAGTAAAAGTAATTACTTACTGGAGAGATCTGTAACTCGCTGTATATACCATCTTAGGTTTCGAATGACCAGCTGACTAGAAAGTGTTCAGAGCTGAACAGCATGCTTGAGACTGTTAGTATGGAAAATGCCAGAATTATTGCTGACCATCAAGCCATTCTGCAGGTATTCACTTAGAACTAGTCCATTTCTCATAGAATCACAAGAAAACTCCTTGGCTAAGAAATTAGGAAATGTATATGACCAATTGGATAAATAAAATATTTTAACAGTTCCAAGAAATTTACTGAATTACTTTATTTTTTATTAGTGGTTTTCAATTTTCATCAGAGGGATCATTTAGCCTTATGCTCAGTCCTTTCTTGACGGTTTCTTCTCAAATACCATTATTTTAAGAAAAGTGATTACCTGGCCCAAATACTCAGCATTTCCTCAAACACCTGTGGTTTTCCCATTTTGCTTATGCTGTTTCCTCTACTGAGAATGGTCTTTATTTCATCTTCAGCTATTTGAAATTCTATTCATTCTTTAAGACTCAAATTCAGCAGGAAGCTTGATCTCTCAAACCAGAAGGGGTGAGTTTTCTCTGTTAACTCCTACTCCTAGGACATTAAACAGACTTTCATAATAATAGTTCTCACTTTTTTGGGAGCATGCTTACTATATAGCAAGCCTTATGCTAATGATTTTACATATGTTACCTCCTTTAATTCTAGCAGCCAGTATGTAGAGGAATATTTATTATCCTCATCTTATAAATAAGGAAAATGAGGTTTAGGGAAGTAGATCAGCTTGTCTGAAGCCACATAGCTAAAGGGGTAGAGCTGGATTGAAACCAAGGTCTGACTCCAGAGTCCATGTTTTAATTTTTGCATTATACTGCCTCTCTAGTTTGCACTGTGTAGCAGTGTATTTGCATGGCTCATTTCCTGGATAATGATCTTCCTTCTTACACGTCTTTGCTATTTCCCATCATGCTTACCGCTGCACGTAGCGTAACACTAAGTAAAACCAGTGTTTACTCCGTGCAGGTACAGTACTAGGTCTAGAAGGGATTATAGTCATGAACAAAATAAAATCTCTACTTTCAGGGACTAACAATGTAGTAGAATAATGTGACGTATGGAAGTAATACTGTCACAAACACTTTTTAACTTTGGAATGTTACACAGATGGGATTTTATTTTCCAAAGGTGTGAAGGTTTGCTTTGCAGTCAAGTATTGTTAAGATAAAAGTGTTTTAAAATACATGTACAGAAATAATTGTTAATATGTACTATACTTGCAAAAGCTTTATAAATTATAGGTAGAAGGGATGTGTCTAAAAGTGTTATGTTTTGAGAAGTCCAAAATGGTGAGCCAGAGAAAATAAATTATGTAAAAACAATTATAAGCATATGTTGTTTTATTGTGCTTTGTAGATAATTGCATTTTTTACAACTTGAATGTTTGTAGCAATCCTGCATCTAGCAGGTCTGCTGGTGCCATTTGTCAACAGCATTAGCTCATTTTGTGTCTCTTTGTCATATTTTGGTACTTCTCACAGCATTTCAAGTTTTTTCATTATTTTTGTTCTGGTGATCTGTGATCAGTGATCTTTGATATATTATTGTAATTGTTTTCAGATGCCAAACCATGCCCATTTAAGATGGAAAACGTAAATATTTTGTGTGTTCTGGCTGCTTTGACTGGTTCTTCCTCATACCTCTCCCTCTTCTCAGACCTCCTATTTACTAAGACCCAGCAATATTGAGATTAGGCCAGAAGATAACCCCTCTGATGGTCTCTAAGTGCTCACGCGAAAGGAAGTGTTTTATGTCTATTACTATAAATCAAAAGCTAGAAATGATTAAGCTTAGTGAAGAAGGCATATCAAAAGCCAAGATAGGCCTCTTGCACCAAACATTGAGCCAAGTTGTGAAGGCAAAAGAAAAGCTGTTAAAGGAAATTAAAAATGCTATTCCAGTCAACACATGAATGATAAGAAAGTGAAACAGCCTTATTGTGGATACGGAGAAAGTTTTAGTGGTCTAGATAGAAGATCGATCCATCCTCAACATTCCCTTAGACCAAAGCCTAATCCAGAGCAAGATCCTAACTCTATGAAGGCTGAGAGAGGTGAGGAAGCTGCAGAAGAAGAGTTGGAAGCCAGCGGGGTAGTTCCTGAGGTTTAAGGACAGAAACTGTCTTTGTAACATGTAAGTGCAAGGTGAAGCAAGTTCTCCAGAAGATCTAGAAGATCATCAATGAAGGTGGCTACGTTAAACAACAGACGCCGTTGGAAGAGGCCATTTAGGATTTTCATAACTAGAGAGGAGAAGTCAATTTCTGGCTTCAAAACAGGGTTTTTGTTTGTTTTTCTCCCACTCAGTGTCAGGGAAACTTTATCAAAGCTTCAGGGCCATGTGGCTCAGGCAGGAGGCTGACCTGTGGGTGAAAGAAAAGCTGACAGCTGGGCCTTCGCTGACCATCCTCTTGCGGCACAGGTTGTTGGTGTGGCTGTGCTTCCTGAGCAATTGACTGCGTGGGCTTCAGGCAAGCACAACACTTGGAGCCTGCAGTCTCGTCACAGTTGTATTTCTGGGTGAGCTAGAGGAGGGCAAGCCTTGATGATGTGATGATGCAGCCCTGCAGATAAAGCATCCAGCACAGGGTGAGCTCTTTCTGGATGTTGTAGTCTCAGAACGTGTGGCCATGGTCTGCTGTTTGCCTGCAAAAATCAGATACTGCTGGTCGCAGAATGCCCTCCTTGTCTTCAATTTTGGCTTTGACTTTTTTTTTTTTTTTTTTTAGAGCAGGGAAGGAGTGGAGGGAGAGAGAGACAGAATCTTTTCTTTTCTTTCTTTCTTTCTTTTTTTTTTAAATCTTTTTTTTTTTTTTTAAGGTTTTATTAGTGAGAGAGCAGGAATGAGGGAAGGAGCAGAGAAAAAGGCAGAAGCAGAATCCCCACTGAGCAGGGAGCCTGATCCTGGGACTCCAGGATCATGGCCTGAGCTAAAGGCAGACACTTAACCGACTGAGCCACCCAGGCATCGCAGAGAGAGAATCTTAAGCAGGCTTCACACTCAGCGCAGAGCCCCTGATACAGGGCTCAATCTCACGACCCTGAGATCATGACTTGTGTTGAAATAAAAAATCAGACACTTAACCGAGTCATCAAGGCATCCCTTGGCTTTGACATTCTAAATGGTGTCACTGGGCACAGTCTACAGGGTCAGAGTGAGGTTCGGGTTCTTCACAAAAATCTGCATCTGTGCATCTGCTGCTTGGCTCACTCGCTGAAGAGAGCACGCCACGCTGACTTTGGGCCTAATGTAGCTGGCGGCTTTAAGTGGAAGCCAATGTTCCTTGACCATTCCCCAAATCCCAAGACCCTTAAGAATTATGCTAAATCTCCTCCACCTGCGCTTTATAAATGGAACAACAAAGCCTGGATGACAGCACATCTGGTACAACATGATTTACTGAAAATTTTAAGCCCACTGTTGAGACCTCCTGCTCAGAAAAAAGATTCCTTTCAGAATATTACACTCATTGACAATGTACTTGGTCACCCAAGAGCTCTGAAAGAGATGGGCAAGATTAATGTTTTCATGCCTGCTAATACAACATCTGTTCTTCAATCCATGAACCAAGGAGTAATTTCAATTTTCAAGTCTTATTATGTAAGAAATCTATTTCACAAAGCTATAGGTGCCATAGATAGCGATTACTCGGATGGATCTGGGCAAAGGAAATTGAAAACCTTTGGAAAGGATTCACCATTCTAGATACCTTTAAGTACATTCGTGATTCATAGTAAGAGGCCAGAACATCCACACTTCCAGGAATTTTGAAGAACTGGATTTCAGCCTTCATGGATGCCCTTAAGGAGTTCAGGACTTAAGTGGAAGAAGTACCTGCAGATATAATAGAAATAGTAAGAGAACTAGAATTAGAGGAGCTTGAAGATGAGACTGAATTGGTATAATCTCATGATAAAACCCGAATGAATGAGGAGCTGCTTTTTATGGATGAGCAAAGAAAGTGGATTCTTAACACTCCTGGTGAAGGCGCTGTGATTGCTGAAATGACAGCAGAGTGTTTAGAATATCGTATAAGCTTAGTTGATAAAGCAACAGCAGGGTTTGAGAGGACTGACCCATTTTGAAGGAAGTTCTACTGTGGGTAAAATGCTGTCCAAACAGCATCACATGGTACAGAGAAATAGCTCCTGAAAGGGAGAGTCAGTGTGGCAAACTTTATTGTTTGTCTTATTTTGTCTTATTGTCTTATTTTAAGAAACTGCCACAACTACCCTAACCTTTAGCAAACACCACCCTTGTGAGTAAGTAGCCATCGACACCAAGGCAAGACCCTTCACCAGCAAAAAGTTTACAACTCACTGAGAGTTCAGATGATGGTTAGCATTTTTTAGCAATAAACTGTTTTTAAATTATGTATATTGCTTTTTTAAAGACATAATGCTACTACACATTTAATAGACTATAACTTATATATGCAGTGGGAAGCAAAAAATTATTTGCCTAGCATTATTGTACTATTCACTTTATTGTGGTGGTCTGGAAGTGAACCCACAATATCTCCTAGGTATTCCCATATAGTGCTTCTGTAACAGTAGCTGAGTGCAATTTCAAATATTTTCAAAAGAATTCACAGCAAATTATTAACATGATTGCCCCTAGAGAAGTGGGATTATTTTAAAGGGGGGTGGGGAGTGTAAGTGAAGAGATCTTTTCACTTTATACACATTGATGTTGTTTTTTAAAAATATGCATCATATTAAAATTTTGAAATACCAAAATATTCCTAGTAGAATTTTATATCTAAAAATATGTTCATGTTAAGAGTTTTATAAATTTTGCAGCAGGCTGGGTAAATAATGCATCTTCACTGTTGGCTGGTAGGGCTATAAAATGACAGAATTGTGGTCAGGTCAGAGTGGCGACAAAGAGAAAGCTGAACATTAAATTCTTTAAAAAGAGGTTTTATTTAAATAAAAATTTATCTCTCATAAGCTAAGTCACTATCTTTGATCAGCCATTTTCAATGGTACCCTATTAAATGACTTCCTGGCATCTCAGCTTTTAATATTACTTCCAAAACTCAGGTAGAGAAGAAAATGATGACACAGACATTTCAAGAACAAAACTTACTCCTGGATGCAGCCCATGCCAGTATCACTACGGAGCTAGAGACTGTTCAAAATGAGAAAATCCAACTCCAAACACATCTGTAAGTAAATTATAGGCAACTTCTTCTGTATCTTTTGTTCTCGCATTTGTATTTCTTTTTTTCTTTTACATTTTATTTTGCAGGCTCCCTGCTGAGCAGAGAGCCCGATGCGGGGCTCGATTCCAGGATCCTGGGATCATGACCTGAGCCGAAGGCAGAGGCTCTAGACCCACTGAGCCACCCAGGCGCCCCTCGCATTTGTATTTCTTGTCTTTAATGGAAACGTTTAATTCTGCATTTCTTGGGCCAGACACAAATATAAAATAAAGACTTTGCCCTTAAGGAACTAGTTTTGTTAGAACATTTTGGCAACTGCTCTCAGCCAGTATGTTCTGGGAGAAGAGGGGTCTATTAAATAAAGAACTCTCAGCGCTCATGTCTCCTCGTTCTCTTCTTACAGGGACCATTTAATCCTCGAGCATAATCAGTGTATCCAGAAAGCACAGGATGCTGAGAGGAGGACAGCCTTGCAGAAGGAGCTGCTAGAAACAACTATTGCAAGACTGCGCGGTGAACTGGAAGCATCAATCCAGGAGAAGAAGTCTCTGCTGGAAGAGAAAGAAAGATTTCAGGGAGAGGTAGGTAGCAGCAGATTTATGTTACCTCCTGGTTGTGGTGGTGATCTTGTTTTAAAACTATTTTAAGTGCCAAAGATAAGAAATACAGCCCAGATGCAGTTAGTCTGAGTTGCCCATTAAAGAAATCTTTAGGTGGCTAATCTCTGTCCGGTAGCATGTGACGTAGACTGTGCCAAACAGCCCACCCTTGCACAGCATTAACTAGTGGCTCACACATCCTCATGGTAGCGAAGGCATCAGATTTAAAAAGCTGATTTCCCCTGAAGGCGTGGGACCGTGGAGGTCAAGGGGGAACAGCTCTGTCTTCCTGCTGAGGAAGGAACCAGCAGAGTCTGACGTGCAGACGTGTCTTTCTAATTTCAGGGCTATTTGTGAAGTCTGCTCTGCCTCAGAGACTCCCTGAGTGGCCCCTTTTCTGAGAGGATGTGCTATCTCGGCAGTGTAGGTATTCGTGAACAGGGTGTGTCTGCTGTAGTAGAGCCTGCCGGCTGCACTGAAACTGAGCCTTTCTTTGTTTCCCCTCCTTGGGCAGGTTGATAAAACAGAGAAAGAAATAGTGCAAGAAAAATGCAATTTGGAAAAGGAATTAGCCAAAAACAAGGTATTCCACATTTTATTTGTTATTTCACTGTGTTTCCTTCTGTATCTCTGCCTCCTGTATGAGCTTATTTTACTGAGGAGATGGGTTATTCAGTTGATTACCAGGATGTGGGGGGGAAAGAAGCCACTGAGGTGGGCGCCCTGCAGAGCGCTCTGGTCACGGCTCCAGTCGCACCAGCACGGGGCTGCTGCTGTGCAGCGTTCGAGCATCTGGTGTTGGCCACTGAGTCACAACGGCCTCGGGCCCTGGTGTTCACTGAGTATTTTAGCCAGAAAGTCCCTCGATGGCCCTGTGGGAGGCAAAGAGATCATTGCTGACAGTGCTGTTTTGTTTTGTTTTGTTTTTTTTAAAAAAGCTAACTTAGGCTTCCTAAATACCTGTTAGCACCTGTCACTCATCTGTAAGATACTCTCTCCTGGGTTCTAAAAAGATAGAATGGCCAGAGAAACAAATACTCTTATTAAAATAAAACAAAAGCCGGTCGTTAAAGCATTGCTGTTTGTGTTTCCAAAATTTGAAAAGCATATAAAGGTTATGTATCACTGTCATCCAGAATTATCTGGAGCATCAGGGAGAATTAGCCTACCCCAGACAGTAAATTCTGCGACACGTGTCTGTATAACCATTGATGTTGATTGCTTCTTGGCTTCTGGCCCTATTAAATAGTATTCATGTTACCAGAAACATGTATGTGTGAACTTGTAATTTAAGAAGTTTCTGAGCCCAAGCTCTGATATAGTTCACCTCTCTGTCAGGTAATCTGTGCTTTAGTGACTAAGCTCTAGTGATTTGAAAAATCGTCCAACCTAAGAATCTTTTTATTTTTATTTTATTTTTTATTTTTTTAAAGATTTTACTTATTTATTTGACAGACAGAGATCACAAGTAGGCAAAGAGGCAGGCAGAGAGAGAGGTGGAGGTAGGCTCCCTGCTGAGCAGAGAGCCCAATGCGGGGCTCGATCCCAGGACCCTGGGATCATGACCTGAGCTGAAGGCAGAGGCTTAACCCACTGAGCCACCCAGGCGCCTCCTAAGAATCTCTTTAAAAAAAGCTTACTTCCCATGGTGAGGACTTGCTGGTGTCAGTTTGTCCTCAAATAGGTTTTTAAAATTTGGAAAATTGGTGGATACTATTAAATTCATGAATGCTTTTCTCTTGAATGTAGGGAATGTTACATGGCAAAGGCAAATGTTCTAGGTCTTTGATTAAAACATAGCATCATTTTGCTTGTCTAATTTTATTTGTCTGAACGTAGGCTAAGTGTGAGTTCATGGGGCTGAAAGAGAGGTTCTATTAGACCAAATGGTAATGCTTATACCGAGTCCTATGTCTTGGGGGGCTCTGATTTGATATTTTTCAAATGTCTATTTATTGTACAGCTATGTTTTTCTGAAGTCAGGCTTATTAAGTTTTACATAGTGAAATTCACCCTTTTTTTAGTGTACAGTTCTGTGAATTTTGACCAACACATCAATTATGGAGCCACCACACAATCAAAATACAGAACACTTTTATCACCTCGGGAAGGTCCCTCATAGCTCTTTACCTTTAACGTCTTCTTGTACCACCATCCTTTGGCAACCACTGGCCTGTGCTTCTGTTCCTATAGTTATGTCTTTCCCAGAATATCCTATAAACGGAATCATATAAAGTGTAACATTTTAAGTCTGGCTTCTTTTGTTTAACGTAAGACATTTGAAGTTCTCCCAGGTTCCTGTCGTGTGTTTCAGTTGTTTGTGTTCCATGATATGGGCATATCAGAATTTCTTTGTCCGTTTGCCACTTGAAGGACGTTTGGCAATTATGAGTAAAGCCTATATAAATGTTCACATCTGAACACATATTTTTATTTCTCTTGGCTAATTATCTGGAGTTGGAATTCTAGATCCTATGGGAAATACATATTTGACAAACAATTCAGCAGCTATTTTCCAAAGAATATATACTATCTTGCCTTCCGTCAATAGTGTAAAAAGTTCTACTCTCGCTGCATTCCTGCCAGCACATGGTAGCGTTGGTCCTTTGAGTCTTGGCCATTCTAACTGCTGGTGTAGACTGACATATCATTGTGGCTGTAATTTGCATTTCTCTAGTGATTAATAATAATGAGCATCTTTTCATCTGCTTATTGGTTATTCAGAAGTTTAAGTGTCTCTTCAAATATTTTAACCATTTTAATTCCATTTTCTTATTATTGATTTTTCAGAGATTTTTAAAAATATTCTCATGTTGATTCTTACATAAAAAAATTCATACTTTTTGTTTATGTGCAGATCTTCTAAGTGCTTTACATATTTTTCTCCCATTTTATGCCTTGTTTTTTTCATGCTCTTTCAAAGAGCAGAAGTTCACATTTTGATAAAATCCAACTTGTCAAATTTTTTATTTTTGGATCATACCCTTTGTGTCATATCTAAGAAATTTTTGACTAACCTAAAATCACAAAGATTTTCCTTTTTTTCTCTAGAAGTTATATAGTTCTAGATCTTATATTAGGTCAATGGTCTGTTTTTAGTTAATTTTCATATATCATGCAAGGTTCATTTTATTTTCAGATGGATTGTCTGATCTAGTACATTTTATTATTGAGATGTAATTAATACACTGTAAATTCACCTCCTTAAAATATACAGTTCAGTGGTTTCTTAGTTTATTCACAAGTCTGTGCAACCATTACCACTTAAATTTTTTTTATTTTTTTAATTTCTTTTCAGTGTTCCAGAATTCATTGTTTATGCACCACACCCAGTGCTCCATGCAATACGTGTCCTCTATAATGCCCACCACCAGGCTCACCCAACCTCCCACCCCTCACCCCTCCAAAACCCTCAGATTGTTTTTCAGAGTCCATCGTCTCTCATGGTTCACCTCCCCCTCCAGTTTCCCTCATCTCCCTTCTCCTCTCCATCTCCCCGTGTCCTCCGTTTTTTCCCTTATGCTCCACAAACAAGCGAAACCATATGATAATTGACTCTCTCTGCTTGACTTATTTCACTCAGCATAATCTCTTCCAGTCCCGTCCATGTTGATACAAAAGTTGGGTATTCATCCTTTCTGACGGAGGCATCATCCTCCATTGTATATATGGACCACATCTTCCTTATCCATTCGTCCATTGAAGGGCATTTTGGTTCTTTCCACAGTTTGGTGACTGTGGCCATTGTTGCTATGAACATTGGGGTACAGACGGCCCTTCTTTTCACTACATCTTGTATCTTTGGGGTAAATACTCAGTAGTGCAATTGCTGGGTCATAGGGAAGCTCTATTTCTAATTTCTTAAGGAATCTCCACACTGTTTTCCAAAGTGGCTGCACCAACTTGCATTCCCACCAACAGTGTAAGAGGGTTCCCCTTTCTCCACATCCTCTCTAACACGTGTTGTTTCCTGTCTTGTTAATTTTGGCCATTCTAACTGGTGTAAGGTGGTATCTCAATGTGATTTTGATTTGAATCTCCCTGATGGCTAGTGATGATGAACATTTTTTCTTGTGTCTGTTAGCTGTTTGTATGTCTTCACTGGAGAAGTGTTTGTTCATGTCTTCTGCCCATTTTTTGACATGATTATCTGTTTTGTGTGTTGAGTTTGAGCAGTTCTTTATAGATTACCACTATCTAATTCCAGAACCTTTTTATCACCAAGAAGAAACCTGGTACCCATTAGCAGTCCCTCCCCATTCTGGTCTGCCTCCAGCCTCTGGCAACCACTGTTCTACTTTCTACATGGGTATGTCTATTCCCACATTTCATATGAATGGAGTAAACCAGTATGTGTCCTTTTATGTTTGGCCTCTTTACTAGGCTAATGTTTTCAAGGTTTATCCATACTGTAATATATGTCAGTATCTCATTCCTTTTTATGGCTGGGTAGTATTATATTGTGTGACTATACCACTCTTCATTTAGCCATTCATCAGCTTATAGACATTCAGGTGGTTCCCACTATTTTGGCTGTGAAGAATAATGCTATGAGCATTTGTGTACATTTTTTTTTATGTGAGCATATGTTTTTGATTCTGTGGGAGTAAAACTAGGTCTTAGGATAATGCTGTCATTTTGAGAATCTACCAGAGTGTTTTTATAAATAGCTACGCCATTTTACAATCCCACCAGCAGTGTATGAGGATTCAAATATCTTCACATCTTCACCTACATCTGTTATTGTCTACTTCTTAAAAAATTAATATACCCATCCAAGTGGCTAGGAAATATCTCATTGTGTTTTTTTCAATTAAGGTGAAATTCACATAAAAGAAAATCATACACTTTAAAGTGAACAATTCAGCGGCATTTTGTATACTTACAATGTTGTATAACCACCAACTCTTCTAGTTCCAAAACATTTTCATCACCCCAAAAGGAAACCCTGTACCCATTAAGCAATGACTCCCTAATCCCCTCGTCCCCTAACTCTAACAGCCACTAATCTGCATTCCATCTGTATAGATTTACCTATTCTAGATATTTCGTATATTCATACAATATGTGATCTTTTATGTCTGGCTTCTTAGCGTAACACTTTTGGGGTTCATCCATGTTGTACATAGCAATATTTCATTCCCTTTTATTCATTTTATGGATGAGTAATAATTCACTGTTTGTGTGTGTGTCATGGCTCCCCGCTTCATGCCCCAAGACCAACCACCTGGGGTATTCTGTTGTAGAAATCGAGGTGTATCTTCTTACATCAGAAGCTGATTTCATGGGTGTATAGAATATTCTGGTAGATATCCAGCTCAACTCAGGGGAGTAGTTAAAAATAGGGTCCCCTACTCCTCTGCCATCTTTGCAGAGGTTCCTGTTTTTTTGTTTTTTAATAATAACCATCCTAGTAGATGTGAAAAGTGGTACCGTGTGATTTAGATTTGCATCTCCCTAATAAGTACTGATGTTGAGTATCTTTTTATGTGCTCATTGGCCATTTGTATATCTTCTTTGGAGAAATGTCTGTTCAGATCAGTAGCTCATTGTAAACTGGGTTGTCTTTTAATTGTTCAGTTATAAGAGTTTATATATTCTAGATCATAGACCCTTATCAGATATGTGGTTTGCAGATATTTTTCTCCCACTCTCTGGGTTCTGTTTTTAAATTTTTAGATTTTTATTATGTTCAATTTACTTTTTTTTTTTTTTTTGGTTGCTTATGCTTTAAATGTCACATCTGAGAAACTTGCCTAATCCAGGGTCACAAAAATTAACACTTTTTTATTCTAAGATTTTTATAGTTTTACATATATAGGTCTTTGTTCGTTTTGAGTTAATTGTATATATGGGTTGAGGTAGAGGTTCAACTTGATTATTTTGCCTGTGGTTATACAGTTGTCCCAGCACCATTGTTGAAAAGCTGTTCTTTCTTTTGAATAGTCTTGACTTCCTTGTCAAAACCCAATTAACCATAGATGTATGGGTTTATTCTAGACTCTCAATTCTGTTCCATTGGTCTGTATGTCTTTCATATGTCAGAACCACACAGTCTTGATTACTGTAGCTTTGTAGCAAGTTTTGAAATCAAGATGCATGAGTCCTCCAACTTTGTCTTTTTTTTTTCCCCGAAGATTGTTCTGACAATTTTGAATATTTATGTTTCTATATGAATTTTAGAGTCAGCTTTTCCATTTTTGCAAAAAAGCGCAGCTATAATTTTGATAGGGTTTGCCTGGAATCTGTAGGGGACTTTTGCAATCATCATATCATCTTGTATTTTTTTCTCTATAAGAATGTATCATCTGAAAATAGAGATAGTTTTATTTCTTTCTTTCACATTTCACTGCCTTTTCTTTCTTTTTCTTGTGTAATTGCCTTCAATAGAATCTCCAGTATAATGCTGAATAGAAACGTTGGAGTAGACAGACATCCTTGTCTTGTTCCTGATTTTAGGGGGAAAGCTTTCAATCTGTCACTGTTAAGTACAGTATTAGCTCTGGGCTTTTTCTAAATGCCCTTTAGAAGGATGAGAAGATTCCCTTCTATTCCTAATTTAGAGAGTTTTTATCATGAAAGTATGCTGAATTTTGTCAATTGCATTTTCTATGCTATTGAGATAATCTTATAGATTATTTTACATTGTTTGATTTCAGATGTTGAACCAAGCTTTCATTTGGGGGATAACTTTTACTTGCTCATGAGTGTAATCCTTTTTATATTGTTTCATTTGGCTTGCTAACATCTTTTTGAGGACTTTTGAATTGTTATAAATAAGGGATATTGTTTTATAGTTTTCTTGTGATGTCTTTGGTTTTGGTATCAAGGAATAGTGGCCTCTTAAAATGATTTGGTAAATGTTCCCTCCCGTTCTATTTTTGGGAAAAGTTTTTGAGGGATTAATGATAATTCATCTTTTTTTTTTTTTAAGATTTTATTTATTTATTTGACAGACAGAGATCACAAGTAGGCAGAGAGGCAGGCAGAGAGAGAGGAAGGGAAGCAGGCTCCCCGCTGAGCAGAGCCCGATGCGGGGCTCCATCCCAGGACCCTGTGATCATGACCTGAGCCGAAGGCAGAGGCTTTAACCCACTGAGCCACCCAGGCGCCCCTGATAATTCATCTTTAAATGTTCGTAGAATTCACCATAGTTCTAGGTTTTTCTTTGTGGGGAATTTTAAATTTTATTTCTTTTTAATTTTTTTATTAATTGAGTCTCTTTACTTATTAAAGGCCTATTCACATTTTCTACTTCTTTTTTTAGTCAGTTTCAGTAGTTTGGTCTTTCTACGAGTTTTCCCATATCACCGAGGCTTTCTAATTTATTGGTATACAATTGTTCAGAGTAGCTCCTTTTCTTCATTTCTTTATATTCAGTGTAATGTTCCTTCTTTCATTCCCAATTTCAGTAATTTGTCTTTTTATTATTGTTAATATAGCTAAAGGTTTGTCCATTTTGTTTATCTTGTCAAAGAACCAGCTTTTGGTTTTAGTGATCATGTCTGTTGTTTTTCTATTCTGCCTTTTGTTTCTACCCTAATCCTCATTATTTTCTTCCTTCTGCTTGCTTAGGTTTAATTTGTTCCTTTTCTAGTTTCTTAAGAGAGTAGCTTAGGTTGTTAGTTTATTTCTTCTTTTTTAACATTGGTGTCTACAGCTATAAATTTCCCTCTGAGCACTGCTTTAGCTGCATACTATACATTTGGTCATGTTTTCATTTTCATTCAACTCAAAGTATCCTTTAACTTCCCTTGTGATTTTCTTGTTGACTCATTTGTTATTTATAAGTTTGTTGTTTAATTTTCTCATATATGTGACTCTCCCAAATTTCCTTCTTTCATTAATTTCCAATTTCATTTCATTGTGGTTGGAGAACATATTTTGTATAATTCCAGTCCTTCAAATATATTGAGAGTTGTTCTATGGCTTAACATATGGAACATTCTGGAGAATGTTGTATGTGCTCTTGAGAAAAATGGTATTCTGCTATTGTTGGAATGAGTATTCTATAGATGTCCAGTTCTTCATAGTGTTTTTCATTGATCTTCTAATTATTCTATTCATTACTAGAAGTGGGATATTAAAGTGTCCAACTATGTTGAATCATTTTTCTCTACCTTTAATTCTGTTAGTTTTTGCTTCATTTATACTGGGACTCTATTGTTAGAGGCACATATATTTATAAATGTTATATCTTCTTGATGGATTGACCCTTTTTTCAATATGTAATGTCTTTTTTAAGTTTCTAGACCCAATTCCAACATGTGTGTGTGGGGGGGGTTCCCACACACATAACACCAAACAGATTTTGGATACCAGCAAAGTGTCCAAGAATTGTACTCAATTCTTACACTACTACCCAGAAATAGCGTTTAGTCCTACACGACTGCCCTACAAGTTCAGTCCTACAAGACTGCTCCCACTCTTGAACTCCTACTTCAGACACCAGTTGCACACTCCAGGTTGTTAACACCAGGCTGTTGTGCTTCTGACCTATTGGCTATAGATTGGAGGTTCCAACAATCTCCTCCTTAGATTCTTTTAATTTGCTAAAGTGGCTCACAACACTTACGGAGATACATTTACCAGTTTATGAAAGGATATGATAAATGATACAAATGAACAACCAGATGAAGAGATAACGTAGGATGAAGTATGGGAAAACAGCAGTGAGTTCTGTGCCTCTCCAGGGACACCACTATCCCTAATTTCCATGTGTTCACAACCCAGAAGCTCATAGAACTCGGTCCTTTAGGGGCTTCACTGCATAGTCATGACTGACTAAGTCATTGACCATTGGCTGATTCAGTCTTCAGTCCCTCTTCCCTCCCTGGAGGTTAGGGACTAGGACTGAAAGTTCCAACCCACTAATCACATGGTTGGTCCTCCTGGCAATCAGCCCCTATGCTTGGGTGGGGACCAGAAGTCACCTTCATTAATAACAAGGACGTATTTCACCGTTATGGCTCTGTTCCACAGTTCTCAGGAACTATGAATGAAGGCCACATATATCTGCGACATATATTTTGGTCATCTGAGTGACCAAACTTATTTCTTATAAACCATTATGATAAAAGGCCTTCTTTATCTTTATTTTGTCTAATGTTAGTACAACCACTCCAGCTCTTTTCAGGTTACTGTTTATTACATGATATTTTTTTTTCCATTCTTTTTCTTTCAACCCATTTGTGTTTTTGAATCTAAAAATGTGTCTTTTATAAAGAGCATATAGTTGGATCTTTTAAAAAATTCATTCTGCCTGTCTCCTTTTTTTGGTGGAGTGTTTAATCCATTTATATTTATCATAATTACTGATAGGATTTACATCTGCCACTGTACTTATTTTTTATGTCTTATATGTTTCTTATTCCTCTCTCCATTACTGCTGCCTTCTTTGTTAAGAAGATATTTCTAGTATACTTTTTAAATCCCCTTATTCTTTATTTTACTATATATTTTTGAGTTATGGGTAATAGTTATTAACATTTTTTCTTCTCTAATCTATTGATATAGTGAATTATACTAATTAATTTTGAATGTTTGACAAGCTTTGTATTACTGGGATAAACTTAATCCTGGCTTGTTATCCTTTTTATATATTGCTGAATTCATTTTCCTAGTGTTTGGTGGAGGCTTTCTGCATCTATATTCATAAGCTGAAATTAATATATAAGTAAATACCAAGTTCCAGAGATTTTCTACTTCTAGTAAATGTGAATGATGTAACTTGTCATAGCCATCCTGCTGAAGACAACTAAAAAAGCTGAAAATTTTTAAAAGAAAAGAAAAAAGTTTACAAAATTATAGAACTATCAGACTACAAATCCCTGCATTTAGAGACAGGAAGACATGTTCATACAATAAGCTCTAAATTACAGTTTAAAATGTCATTTTTAAAATAAGGTAATATTTTTAGATCTAGCATAAATAGATTTCTTTTCTCCTTTTGTGTTTCAAAGATAGATATAAATGCATTAACCCAAAACCTGCACATTCTAGAGGAAAAGAATAAACACCTGGCGGAACAAATGGCTTCCCTAGAACTTCGGCAAGTCACTTCTGATTACAATGGGGTGGGTATAAAAAGGTCAGTCTAAATTAGGAATTAAGAATTTAAAAATCGAAGGTCAGAAGATGGGTTTTCTTCATTTATTGGTGTTTTAATAATTATTAAGTCCTGAATAACTCGGGCTAAATATAACAGAGAGCCTTATGAGTACTTAAACAATAAGAGATTTAAGAAAACAAGAATCTAAGGCAGCTGTTAAACATCTGCCTCCACAGATGATCTATAATACTGAAAAGCACAAATATTTATAATGCTTAAAAATATTTCCTCTACCGGGGCCCCTGGGTGGCTCAGTGAGTTAAAGCCTCTGCCTTCGGCTCAGGTTGTGATCCCAGGGTCCTGGGATCGAGCCCCGCATCGGGCTCCCTGCTCAGCGGGGAGCCTGCTTCCTCCTCTCTCTCTGCCTGATTCTCTGCCTACTTGTGATCTCCATCTCTCAAATAAATAAATAAAATCTTTAAAAAAATTTCCTCTACCATAAATTATGAGGAAGAAACTTACATTTTTATTTTCTTTGTCTAAAAGTTCCATTAGGCAATCAGTAATAAATACAATTTCTAAAAGCTGTTTGACAAGGTCAGTGCAAAACAAATAAATGGTAGAGTTCACAAAACATCTCTCAGTGAAGAGTATTTAAAGAGATGATCATTTTGTTAAACAACTAATAAGTTTTCCTGTGTGCTTCTGAGTACTTGAAAAAATAATTGTTTCTATAGCATGCCGATCACCTTTGAAAATTGCAGAGATGGCTCCAATGTGAATCTCTCTTAATCTGAGTTAAATTCTTTCAACTTTTGTCATAAGCTTCTCATTACTTCAATTATGAAAACCTAGAGAGTAAGTCTAAATCCATTACATTTTCATAGCTTTAGAGCCAGACTGCCTGTGTTTCAATTTTGGCTGTGACCTCTCAGAGCCTCAGTTTCTTAATCTGTCAAAGTAGGGAAATTAATACCTTTATTAGGAAGTTGTTTAAGGATTAAGTATGTTAATCATGTAAAGCATGTAGCAGATAACTACCATTTATTGAACTTTTAGTATCTGAACCATCCCAGAAAAAAAGGCCTTTAAGTTGCTATTACAGCAACAAGGTGCATTAGTTCTAATTCCTGGTACTATCTCAGAGCAATATTCCCACCCCCAAGTTTAAAGATTTATCCATGTCCGCTACTTGCTCATTGGCCATGCATCAGCTGGGCTTATCAACCCACCTGCTTCTGGTCCCTCTGGAAGACCACATCTCAGTCTGCCTGATTCTTTCATGCCCCACTGCCAGGTGAGTAGGCCTGTGGCCTCATCCTAGTAATGATTTTGACAGATCCTGACAACGATTCGATCAGTCAGTGTTGATTCTTTCCTGCTCATAGCACCTCTTAAGGTCTCCCAGTTATAAACCACACCTCAATTCTGTCTTGCAGTTTTGTGCTTCTACATAGAATTTTCTCTGACCATGCCTGCCCAGAAGCCCTCCTTTTGGCTGTATGAGTCTTGAGAAATTAGGTTGAGGTGTCAGGATTTGGGATTTTTTTTTTTTTTTTTTTTCCTCAACAGTATCATTAGACCTATCACCATTCAATGTTGGCAGTGTATTTTTGTTCTTTGGGAATTAACACTTGAAATTCTCAATAAGAGCTACCTTCTAGTATAACTTCTTCCTGGATTTTGGAGCTAATGCTTATGAGTGTGTGCTGTATATGCCATACCACAGATTTGAACTCAGACAGACCTGGTTTCAACACTTGGTTCCATTGACTGTGTGACTTGTGCAAGCCTTAAACTTTAGGGCCTTTGGTACTAAGGGGATCCCTCCTAACCATGGGTTTCCTACAGCACACTGTGCATGTACATATCAAAATAATAACTTCATTGATTAGAATTATGTATCTGCCTTCACTCTCTTCTAATGCAAGAACTGTAGTTACTTATCTTTATACTCCCTTACCTAACATAGTACCTAATACATAATAGGTATTTAAGAAAGATTAATTCAGTGGAATATAAGGAGGGTCATGTGTCTTGACAGGACATGAGGAGTAAATGTCATATTGTATGTAAAGTGCTCATCACAGAGCTTAGCATACTTTATCCATGTTTAAACAGTATTTTTTTTTTCTCCTTCACACTGATTTTGGGTTTATTTTTATTATTTCAGCCTTTAAAGATGGTTCAATTTAAGTCTCTTAACACAGGCAGTCATTCAGGGAACCATAGTGAGGAATGATGAAAATGAGGGAGGTTTACAGTTGAATCCTTATCAAACTTTCATATCTTAAGATAATTCTGTTTGCTTCCTGCTTTTTCCAAAGAGTGATATCTTTGAATCAGTTAAAATGCATATTCTAACCATTAGCATTTTTCTTTGTATGGTTCTTCTCAAGTGATTCTTCAATTTTTATTTTGCTTTGCATATTAATAATCTATATAGTATATTGACAAGATTATTTAAGCAAAGGTTAATCTCTTTTTGGCCTTTCACAACTCAGAATCCAAGATAATCACTCATTCAAGTGCTCTCTAATTTCTGGTCTCCCACTGATTCTCTTAAATATAAGGCCTATTTAAATAGTCTGGAAACAATAATTTAAATTATTGCCTTAATATCTGCTTTCCTTTAGCAACTAGAACAATTTCTTTTTTGTTTGTTGTGAATTTAAATAAAGGACCTTGTGTCAAATATGAATCACATTTTGATTTTGCTAGGTGACCAAAGAAAGGGAAATTATTTTTAAAGCATATTTAAAAGATTAGTAGAATTTCTTATGCCTTTGCTTAAAAGAGGGAATTTTATTGAGGTCAAAGTACCATTATTTTAAAAATTCCTGGATACCTTTTATAAGAGACCCAGATCATCTAAGTTACTACAAAAAAAACTTTTTTCATATTCCAAAAAGGCAAGCAGTTTCCTCTGTTTGTTACAGCTAATATATTTTAGGTTAAGTCTAGCTCTTGGTGTTTTATACACCAAATCTGCACTTTACAGTACAATGGGTACCTCAATTTATAGAATTTAGAATTGAATTTTAAATAACTAAGTTTTTATGGTTATGGTATATCTTTGTTTTTGTAATATCAGTGGCCACCCTTATCATTTATTTTTGCTGAAGACTTGGTCAAAACATAATCCCAAATGTTGTGTTCATGGAATGTTTTTACTTCAGTTTCCAAAATAGAAGTATTGTGGGAAAGGGGAATTTCCACTGACAGAAAATTGATTAATTTTATGATAATATATCGCTATTAGCCTCCTATTTATTGATAACAATCTATAGCTCTCTTAGGTTATTTTGAAACCAATACTTGATTGGGTCTGAATGCTTTTAAAACATATTTTCCTTTGCATTAGTAGGAATCACGCTTAGTGATTAAAAATGAAACTTTAACAGGGCACCTGGATGGCTGTTAAACATCCAACTTTTGATTTAGGCTCAGGTCATGATCTCAGATCTTGAGATCAAGCCCCATATTGGGCTCCACACAGAGCCAACTTAAGATTCTCTCCCTTTCCCTCTCCCACTCCCTGCTTGCACTCTCTTGCTCCTCCCTTGCACATTCTCAAGAGCTCTCTCTCTTAAAAAAAAAAAAAAGGAAAGAAACTTTGAGAGACAATGTACAAATATGTGTAATTATGTATGAAATAAATACTGGTCTGATAGGACAAATACTCAGATGGCCGTAATAGTTAACCTACTGTTGCTTAATATTGGATATAAATTTTTATATTGAATGTGCATAATTTGGGGGTAGGTTGTATTGAAATACTGGTCGCTCTAGGGAAGAGCTAAGAGGCAGCAAAGGCAAATAAATATGTATCCCGGTTTGGGCACTGTAGAAATGGTAAGGTATAAATACTTGTTCAGAAGTGGTTATTCCGTTCTATGCCTCGGTGCTGACACCTGTGTTTGCTTTGTCAGCTTGCCCAGCAGCAAGTGGAAAAGGCCTTGGGAAAAATTACTGAGAGTAAAAATAAACTGGCCTATGAAAAGGGAAAACTCCAGGTATGAGATTTTATTTTCTGATTTGTGTTATGTAATTTTTTAAATCACAGTTTTCGTGCTAAGTATTGCTAGGTTTTGAGAAATTCTATGACTTTGGACCAAAGTGTTTGAACCCCTCCCCCCCCCTTAGTTTGTTGCCTTATTAAATAAAATCCAGGCGACTTCTATTCACATATCTGTAATGTAATACTGAATATGTATAAAATTATGAAACCAAATTTTGAAACCAAAACCCATTCTGTGACTATTTGAAGTTGTATTGTAATTGTTTCATGCTTGCATGGTCATTCATTGAGAATGTAGACAGCCCATGCTCTCTTTTTTGCTGAAATTTTATAATGTTCTTAAAAAGAAATAACCCTGGGGAGCGCCTGGGTGGCTCAGTGGGTTAAAGCCTCTGCCTTCAGCTCAGGTCATGGTCTCAGTGTCCTGGGATCGAGCCCCACATCTGGCTCTCTGCTCCGTGGGGAGCTTGCTTCCCCCCCCACCACCTCTCTCTCTGCCTGCCTCTCTACCTACTTGTGATCTCTCTCTCTGTCAAATAAATAAAATCTTAAAAAAAAAAAAAAAAAAAAAACAGAAAGAGTGAGCCCTGGAATTGGGACTCACAGGCAATAGACTTAAGTGAAAGGGATGATACTGTCTTGCATTCTGTGGGCGGGAAGTTTGCCGCTGATAACCGGCCCCAAGTGGAAATGCTGAAATCCGAATAAGTAGTTCACAGCTTAGCTACACATGACCATTTGAGGAATTTTTAAACACCTCATTCTGGGAAGTGTATGATGTCTGCCATTTACTCTGGAATGAACGAGAAAAAAAAGAAAAAATCGTTTGGTGGCTCAGTAGAGGAAACTGATAGATGATTTGATATGTGATGAGCAAGTATAAAAAAATGGTAGAATTTGGGTGACGGTATTCTCATTCACAGTGAAACTCTCTCAATTTTTCTGTCTACCTATAATCCCCATGACAAGGCTTGCCCCTTAGAGCAACCGGATCAGAATCTCAGGGACCAGGTCCTCGGCTTCAGTGCTTTTTGAGTCCCCAGGGACTCCAGTGTGCAGCTGTGTACTTGAGGACCCCAGATTCGATGGTGTGAAGTGCAGTCCCGTTAGGCTCAGAGACCGTGAGCTGATCTGATTAAGTAATCTCCCTACAGACTGTAAAACACGTCAGTGCTAAGCTCATCTCATCTGCTCTGAGAGCCTGTTAAGAGAGTAGCGCACAAGATTGGCCCAGATATGTGAAAGGCAGTTGGTAAACCATGGTTGTGAAACAATATATCGTCCACTAAAAAATAAGACTATTTGGGCACGGTTTGTGTGCCCTTAATTAATATATTCTGGAGTCCGTAATACATTTAAATATAATCGTTTATATTTGTATAACCTTGGGCACGTCTTAATTTTCTTAAAATTTCATATATTTTTTTTTTTTTAAAGATTTTACCCATTTATTTGACAGAGACCACAGGTTGGCAGAGAGGCAGGCAGAGAGAGAGAGGAGGAAACAGGCTCTCCGCTGAGCAGAGAGCCCGACGCGGGGCTCGATCCCAGGACCCTGGGATCACGACCTGAACCAAAGGCAGAGGCTTTAACCCACTGAGCCATCCAGGTGCCCCCATATATATATATTTTTTTTTAAACTCAGTTCCTGGGGTACTGGTGTATCCCAGTTGGTTAAGCTTTGGACTCTTGATCTCAGCTTAGGTCATGATCCTCAGTGTCATCGTGAGAAGGAGAGATTCTCTCTTTCAAGGGGCACCTGGGTGGCCCAGTTAGTTAAGCATGGGCTCAGGTCACGATCCTGGGATCAAGCCCCAGGTCAGGCTCCCTGCACAGCAGGGAGCCAGCTTCTCCCTATCCCCCTGCCACTTCCCCTGTTTATCTTCTCTTTCTCTGAACTAAATAAAATCTTTAAAAACAAACAAAAAAATTCTTTCTTCCCTTTCCCTCTGCCTCTCCACCCTTTACCCCACTTTGTGCACTCTCTAAAAAAAAAATGTAGTTCTTTTAAAATCTATTTATCAAAATGTTCAAAAATAATTGTGATACTTAAATATTTGTTTCTTTTTTAATGCATTCAATAACAACAGCTAATGGTGTTCTAATAAACTCTCTAATTTCAAACCAGTGATAAGCACGAACAGCTGTTCAAGATATTTGCAGTAACTGTTACGTGATATGAAAATATCTGTGACGTCTGTTGGAGACAAAGTAAGAGGTTCTGCTAATACTGCTGTGGTTTACTGCCTACATTCTTACATTTTTAACTGAAGCACAGTTGACATACAATATTATATAACTTTTGACACACAACATAGTGGGTCAGTAATTATGTACATTATGAAGTGCTTACCATGTGTCACCATACAAAGTTATTATAACATTATTGACCATATTCCCAATGCTGTACTTTTCATCCCTGTCACTTACTTATCTCGTAACTGGAAGTTTGTATCTCTTAATCCCCTTCACCTAATTCACCCACCCAATCCTCCCCACCGCTAAAAACCATGTATTTTTGAATCTGTTTCTGGTTTTTTGTTCATTTGTTTTTTTAGATTCCACGTAGACGTGAAATTGTAGGGTATTTGTTTTTCTCTGACATCTTTCACTCAGCAGCATCACACCCTCTAAGTTCGTCCATGTCATTGCAGATGGCAAGATTTCATTCTTTTTTATGGCTATTCTTCCCAAATATTCCAAAATATATGAGGAAGAAAAACTTCCAAAAGACAGAACAAATTAAAAAAAAAAAAAACAGTAACAGATTCATAAACACAGAGAACTGGTGGTCGTCAGGGTTGGGGCTGGTGAAATAGGTGAAGGCGATTAATAGGTACAAACTTCCAATTATGGAATAAATAAATGACAGCGAAAATTATATAATATCCTATGTCAACTGTAATTAAAATATTTTTAAATATAGGCAATAAACCACTGTAGTATCAGAAAAACTTACTTTATTTTTTTTTAAATTTTATTTATTTATTTGAGATAGAGAGCAGGAGCAGGGGCAGAGGAAGAAGCAGGCTCCCTGCTCAGCAGGGAGCTCAATGCAGGGCTTAGTCCCAGGACTCCAGGATCATGACCTGAGCCAAAGGCAGGCACTTAACTCACTGAGCCACCCAGGTACCCTAGAACCTGTTACTTTAAGGGTTTGGTGGAAGTCACTTGTGAAGTCATCTGATCCTTGACTTTTGTTTTTTGGGAGTTTTTTGAGTACTGATTCAACTAGTAATCAGTCTGTTCATATTTTCTATCCCTGATTCAATTTGGGGAGATTGTATGTTTCTAGGAAATTTATCCATGTTTTCTAGGTTGTCCAGTTTGTTGACATACGATTTTTCATAATATTCTCTTATAATCCTTAGTATTTCTGTGATGTGTTTATTTCTCCTCCTTCATTTCTGATTGTATTTATTTGAGTCCTTTTTTTCTTGATGAGTTTGGTTAAAGGTTTATCAGTTTTATCTTTTCAAAGAACTAGCTCTTGGTTTCACTCTTCTATTACTTTTTCAGTCTTTATTTTGTTTATTTCTACTCCAATCTTTACTATTTCCTTCCTTCTGCTAGCTTTAGACTTTTTCTTTTTCTAGCTCTTCTAGGTGTAGGGTTAGGTTGTTTATATGAGATTTTTCTTTTGCCTTGCTAGACACTTCCCTCTTTAAAGTGCTTTTGTTGTGTCCTTTGTTGTTTGATTAGAGCACTTAGTCCATTTACATTTAAAGTAATTCTTGATAGGTAGTTATTGGCATTTCGTTAATCATTTTCTGATTGTTTTGTTTGAGTTTCATCTTTTTCACCTATAAAATGAGGGAGAAGCATATCTCTTATCTCCTTTTCACTAGGAAAATTAGTCAACATTACAGTCTCGGTGTGTAGATTACTGTTTAACCTTTTATATCTCAATTACATACTTTAGAGGTTATTCTCAGAACTTAAGGAAAATATAACCTTTTTTCTGCTCAGATTCCTACAACAAGGGCTTAAGGTTTTTGATAGTCTTTGAAAGCTGAAATACTTGAAACTACTGACTCACTGGTATTTTTATGTTATACCTTGGGTTGGCGCATTCCAAAGGGACTGACCATCAACCCAAGGCAAAGTGCTCTTATACCATAATACTCTTACAAGTTAATTTAAAGGAAGAGCTGCATACTAAACATGATCAAAATAACCTTCTGTGTTCTCTCTAAATTGAACAATCGATTAAAATATTACCTATGAATCATTTGATAAAATGTTACTTTTTAGAATTGACTTAATGTTTGGTATAAAGACTGGGTTTTAGGTGCTAATGTAGACTGAGTGAGAAACTGCTTCCCCAGATCCAGACATGATCTGAATTTTATTTTCAATATAATTCAATGTAATAATTTATAAATATGCCAAAAATAGATTTATTCTTTCCTTTATTGATGGACACTTAGGCAGTTTCTAGTTGCTTACAAACAACACCGATGTGATGAATTATTGTACATGTCTCCTTGTACTCAAATATAGAAAAATTCTCTAGGCTAGGTATAAATCTCAGGGGGAAAATTCCTGGATTGTAGGATTACAGATCTTGAATTTACTAGAGTTTATGAAATTACTCCTGCAAGTAGTTATACCAGTTTTGAAAGCAGTCTCTACAAGAGTGTAGACATACGTGTGAAAATGGACCAGTCTCATAAAATAATACTATACACGATTTAGGGACACATTTATAATAAAATTATTAAAAAGGATTAAGAATGATAAACAAAAGACCTTGATCTAAGTTACCATTTTTTCTGAGACTGGCTGATAAGCTAATAATGGAAACTGCTTGGATTTTAATGACACAGAAAACCCAGGTCTCTCTAGGACAGCACAACGTATTTGCTCCTGTGTTCTTTCCCATATGAATGTCCTGAATTCAAAATCATGCCAAATTTGATAATACAGAAATTAAAGTGCTTATAAATGAGAAAATGCCATCTGAAAAGTTTCAGGTCATTTTACTATGTACCTAGAGGTTGAGTTAGGCAAATTATCTGAGAAATATTGTGAAATAAGGATATATTCTGTGTTTTGCTTGAAGAGAAGCAAATCTAAAGGTTTTCAGAATTAATCAGCCATTTTCCATTAGATTCTACAGGCTCACAGCAGTTTGCTTATATTTAAGATAAGAATAATTATTGTATCAATACCTCCTTTAGAGGTGGCATTTTAATTCTGAAACTTTAAGTGAAAACCGTGATGGCTTTAGGGAAACACAACACATATTTTATAATGTACTTTGTGGAAAAGAGCAACAGAAATAAGCAAAGGTAAAAGAAGGATACTAGAGAGATTTCCTGAGACAAAATGTGCTTTTATGCCGTCTTTGAAAAAAACCCAATATTAGCAATCATATTTTTAATAGTTTCTGAAAGGGTCCAGTAACTATAACCAAGAAGTGTTTACGCTCTACAGGTAGGAAACAAGACACAGGGAGAGGGAAAAGTTGATTTAAATTTTAAAAATCTTGGATAAATTTTTTCTGATTCAGGGATAGGCTCAGTAATGTTAATTGTTGATTCGTATGAAAGGGTTGGTTATGATAGGAAGAAAATTTGGAAAAACACAATTTGGAGATTAGTGAGTAAATATTAATGGTTTCATTCCCTCAAATGATCATTTTCTTTAAAGAGATATGTCATCTTTCTCAGTGTTAAAATATAATTCATCATTTAAGAACATTTATTCAGCTTTTATAATTTTGTTAATAAAACAGGACTCTGTCATCTTGCATAATGACAATTCTAATTATCTATATTCAAAATGTTTTTTGAATGTTAGATACCACAATTTTTTAATTGAAATTATTACCCACAAAGTTTCAGTATTATATTCATGAGTCATGTTAATTTGGAGTTTCCATAAGCAATAGAAACCAAACGAGTCATTTCATTACTTGTAAATGGCTGTAGCCTACTTTAAGCTATTGAAATAGCTGTGTTAGTTGAGGTAGCATTCTTTGCATGATTAGAAAAATTCAGGATTGCTTTTATAACTTTTAAGGATTCTCTGTGATTTTTCCAAACTCATGACATCTTTTTCCTTTTAGAGTATGTGTGTATGTATAATATATATATCCTTTTAGAGTATGTGTGTGTATATGTATGTATATGTATATGTGAATATACTTGTATATATGTGTGTGTATGTAATATATATATTCTTTTAGAGTGTGTATAAATAATATAGATACACCTAAAATTAATAAGCCTTATTTTATTATTCTTCTGTTTTACCCTAGATAAAAGTTAAACAGCTAGAAGAACAACTACATTCTTTTACTGAAACTAGTTCCCAGAATGACCATCTACGCAAGTTGAACAAGGCCCTAGAGAGCAAATATGCTCAGGTGTGATTAATAACTACAAACCAGATTGCTGTTATGTTGTTTTAATTAGGTTTTATGAAATTGATGCCTCTCTCCCCACCTTACCGTACAGTCCCAGAAAGGCGAATATTCCCTCACGTGACTCAACTGGCAAACAATTTTTAAAAACCACCAATGTCCAGGGTTTTGCTGAACTGTAAGAAGGAAAGATGCCTGAAGCAGGATTGGGACATTCAACTTATTTATGCTCTAATTAGAGGCTTAGGAATGTACTCATAAACTTTATTATAGAACTAAAATTTTTGTCTCTTAGAAGCAAGACAGTGTTATGAGTGAGTGTTCACAGGGGGCATCATTGTAATGAAAGCATCAAGAAAGACTTTCATAGAGGAAGTGTTTTTATAATTATTGGCAAGTTCAGAACTCAGTGCCAACAAGATACCCTCACAACAGACAGCTCACATGAAAGAGGCCTTAGTAAAGTGCTTACTTGTTACCATGGTGGCTACTGAGGCTGTAAACCTTTTGTAGATCACATAACATTTTAACAAATGAATGGAGAAAGTTCAACAAACAAGAGAATAAAACATTTCATGAAGAAAAATAATCCAGGAAAGTGTTGCCAAGAAAAAGTGATTCATTTCAATGATTTACAGATTTACCATGTATGATATTTAAAAAAAAAAAAAAAATCTTAGTGTATGTATAACTTCTATATCGATAATATTTTTGTTTGTATAGCACTGGTAACCAAGGAGCTAGAATGTGTCTTCAAATAGAATACTGTTAGTCTTCTAACCATCTGACCATACTGGAAAAGGGGGTCTCATTAGATACACTCTCCTACAGGGAACTTGATTTAAGGAAGGTCAGTTTCTTCACTAGGACAACTTCACAGTGTGATTTCTTTATTCTGAAAGCAAAGGAACCCATTTTCAAGTATATTTTCCATCAGAGCTTCATTCAGAATATTGTGTTGTTACTCCTCATAAAAGGAGCATTCACTGAAAAATAAGTCTAGGTTTAGCCATTTTACTGTTTTTAATTGGTGATGCCTCCAAGAAGAAGGAAATCTCCGGAGAGGCCTGCGTCTTCGAAGTTGTTTGAAAGCTACAGGCCCCATGTAAACGGCGTAAAGGAAAGAACTTCTTCAGTTGGTTTGCCCAGTGTAATTCCCAACTCTACACGCCGTGTGACCTTTGCACCTACTCTGACTTCTGTGAGAGCTTCTCAGGATATTGCAGACTCTAGAATCTCTCTAAAGACTCTTTTGAATGCTATTAAAACCATGGAAGGAAGGCTGGAAGGTAAAATAGACATTCTTGCTTCAAGACCATTAATAAATGAGTCACCAAATTTTCTTAAACGGGATTCGGTAAGTGCAGACCACAAATTAAGTCATAAGGAAATTTCAGATTCATACAACAATGAAGAAAAGTAGTAACAATCCAGAAAGATAATGTTTGGAGCAATGAGAAACAACAAGGAAGTTAGGTTCTTCACAAATAAGAAAAACTGACAGTGTATATTGTAACCATCATTAAAATAATAATTTTTAGACAAAAAATAACTAATTTTTAGACAAAAAGATTTGGATTAACACTGACACCTTTTTAATCTGATTTTGATTTTTTTTAATTCATGATATCTATATAATGTTAATATTCATGGTAAAATGTTTAGATAAAGCCTGCTTTTTAAAATAGAAATAACGTTAGGGGTGCCTGGGTGGCTCAGTGGGTTAAAGCCTCTGCTTTCGGCTCAGGTCGTGATCCCAGGGTCCTGGGATCAGCAGGGAGCCTGCTTCCTCCTCTCTCTCTCCCTGCCTCTCTGCCTACTTGTGATCTCTGTCTGTCAAATAAATAAAATCTTTTAAATAAATAAATAAAATAAAATAAAATAGAAATATGTTAATGAAATCCCCACGAACTTGAACATTGGAAATATTTTCCAAAGAAAACTTTTAAAGCATCCATCTTTGATATTTAAAAATAGAAATTACTATATAACTTGTCTTCTAGAGTTGATTACTATTTAGATCTTTTCTGTAAACATTTCTGCTGTATGTATCTTAAACATTTCATATGTATCTTAAAAACACTGGTAAAATTATAAAAACTATATTCTTTCCTGAGTCCATTTCTAGAACAAAATCCAGGACATTTTTAGAGTCTGAGTTGGCATCTTTTGTAATATTCTTGGGTCCTTAAAGAAGAAGAATTTCACATGTTACAGGTGAAAAGTTTTAAGGAAGTATAATAATACTGAAGAAGATGTGGATAAAAGATACTGGGTTTTGTTGCTGTTGGAAGTGTAAAATGTTACAACTTCTTGCGGGGTGGATAATTTAGTATCTATCATTTCACCTCACCATTATATTTCTAGAACTTTCTCCTATAGACATACCTGCTTATATATATGGCATATTTATAAGGTTACTTACTGAAGTATTGTTTGTTAACAGCAAAAGACTGGAAGCAAACAAAATTTCATCAATAAGAAACTAGCTAAATAAATCATGGTGTATTCATGATTTGGAATACTGTTTGAACATATGTATGTATATACTGTATATGTATATAGTATATATGTATTATTAGGTTAAAACAGTCAAGATTCAGAAGAGTATATTTAGTATTTTACTATTTGTGTAGTAAAAGGGGTAGGAGGATAAAAATATATATACATATGTGAGTGTGTGTGTGTATATATATATATATTTACTTGTAATGCATAGAATTGCTCTACAATGAATCACAGATTGGCAACATTATTTTTGAGGAAGAAAATAGGATGGCTGGAAATTTTTCACTTTACCCTTTTGTATCTTAATAATGTGAATGTGCCACCTATTCAAAGTAATTTTATGAACATTTCATTTTCAACAAAAGTGAAGGTACAAAAAGAATGCTCTTTTCAGCAAATGGTCTTGGAGCAGTTGGCTATCCACATGCAAAACCAAAAAGTCTATGATCCATACCTCGCACCATATGTAAAAATTAACTCAGGCACCTGGGTGGCCTCATTCAGTTAAGTGTCTGTCTCTTGATTTTGGCTCAGGTCACGATCTCACTGTCATGAGATTGAGCCCCTGCTTGCCCCTTTCCCTCTGCTCCTCCTTGCATTCTCTCTCTCTCTCTCTCAAATAAATGAATAAATAAATAAAATCTTTAAAACAACAAATTAACTCAAAATGGATCAGTCTTAAATGGAAAACCTAAAACTGTAAAACTTCTAGAAGAAAACATAGAAGGAAATCTTTGTGATCTTCTCAGAGATAGATTTGACATCAAAAGCATGATCCATAAAGGAAAAAAAAAAAAAGAAACGATAGCTTATCCTCTTCAGAGCTATTAAGAAAATAAGATATAAGCACTTGACTGGGAGAAAGTAGTTGCAAATCACTTAAGGCCTTGTCTCCCAAATGTATTAAACTGTCAAAATTATTAAGAAGAAAACAATGAAGGGGTGCTGAGTGGCTCAGGCGTTGGGCATCTGCCTTCGGCTCGAGTCACAATCCTAGGGTCCTGGGATTGAGCCCCACATCGGGCTCCCTGCTCTGGGGGAAGCCTGCTTTTCCCTCTCCCACTACCCCCTGCCTGTGTTCCCTCTCCCCCTGTGTCTGTTTCTGTCAAATAAATAAAATCTAAAAATATATATATGGATGATAACTAAGTAATTGAAAAGATGTTAAACATCAGGCGTTAGGGAAATGCAGATGAAAACCACAGAGATATACCACACACCTGTTAGAATGTGTAAAACCCCAAAACTGATCATCCTAAATGTTAGTGAGGACGCAGAGCACTGGGACTGTCATACACTGCTGGGGGTGGTGTCAGATGGTCCAACCACCCTGAAAAATAGTTTGGTAGTTTCTTTAAAAATGAAACAGTGCATAACCCAGCCATTCCTCTCTACTGTGTATCTACCAAAGATAAATGAAAGCATAAAACCACACAAAGCCTTGTACACAGCTGTTCACAGCAGCTTTATTTGTAATAGCTTAAAGCTGGAAGCAACTTAAGGGTCCAGAAGGTGAATGGATCAGTAAGTTGTGGTATATCCTCCAACAGAGTACTGTTTAGCAATAGAAGGATTGAACTACTGATAATGAAAAAGATGGAATCAATTACACTGAGTGAAGGAAGCCATTCAAAAAGGAGTACACCCAATATGATTCCATTTATGTAAAATTCTAGAAGATAAAATAATTTACTGTGACAGAAAACAGATTAGTTGCCTTGTGTGGAGATACGGGAACAAGGAGAGAGAAGGGGGAAACTACAAAGAGGCATGAGAGAACTTTTAAGATGATAAGAAATGCTTATTATCTTGATTATGGTTTCAGGAATTTAAATAGATGTCAGAACTGTATGCTTGAGATATACACAGCTTATTGTGTCATTCATACCTCAGACGTGCTGTTTAAAAAAAGGAGAATGTGACTGTGTTACCTATACAAAAGTTAATTACGTTGAAATGTTCAACATTCTTGACATGACAAAACTGCAGAGGCCCAGAACAAATTACTGGTTGCCCCGGGCCTGGGGACAGGGTTGGAAGAGCGTGTGTACACAGAGAAGCAGCACACGTGAATTCTTTTGCGGCAGGATGGGGCAGTTCTGTATCTCGATTGTGACGGTGTTCACAGGAATAACGTGCGTGGGGTCCGATGACACAGAGCTCAGTGCGTGCACACACACAGATGAATGCAGGGTTTTAAAAACATGGTGAAAGCAGAGTAAGTTCTGTAGTCCGGTTAATCTGTTAATCTGTAATGTACAAAGGCAGCTTCCCAATTTTGATGTTGAACTACAGTAGTGTAAGATGGCACCATTAGAAGCAGGGTGAAGACTGCACGGGACTCTCTGTACTACTTTTGCAACATCCTATGGATGTTGTTATTTCAACACATTTTTAAAAAGTAATATTTAAAATACTTGATCATTTGATCATTTGAAATGATTGTGTAGATATACTCAAAGTATTTCAGCGATATAAAATACTAATACTTCTAATTAAGATGCCTTCTTCTATAGCACTATTTTCTTGACACTGCTTAGTATTTATTTGTCTTTGCTTTCGTTAGATTTGCATTTGTTCTATTTTCCAGTTCCATGATACTCCGTTTCTTCCCCATTTTGCCTCTGACCTTCATAGTCTTGTCTCCCTCATCACCTAGCCTGTACTTTCCTGGTGATTGACATCTGTTAGGTTTGCTCATGTTTATTCACACAGATTTTTTGCTGTTGTTTTGTAGTTTTCGTTAAAGGAAAGAATAGCTCATAAAGCTGGTTTTTATTATAGTGGATAAGTATATTAAACATTTTGAGCTTGGTTTCCAAATTGCTGGTCTTACTCTAATTGCTGACTTACAGTGCTCTGGAAAAGTTATTTGTCCTTCCTTGTTCTCTACTAAGGTGAAATCCATTCTCGAAAAGAACGAGGAGGAGCTCTCACAAGCCATGAGGAGCCGGGACGCAGCGCTGAAAGAGAGTCAGAGGTTGAAAGGGGACCTCGAGGCCCTGGAGGACAGAGAGAGCAAGAAGGCAAGGCGTCCGTCCTCCGTGAGCGTTTGTTACTGACGCGAGGCGCGTAAGAAATCTTCCACGAGGCCTCGTCCTTCATTTCTTGTTACCTTGAGCAAGAATGCGGATTGAGCAGAGGAGGATTATGTTTTCTAAAGATAGTTTTAGAAGAGCTGTTGTGTTTGCCTTAGAAACACATCCTTCAACTCCCAATGTCTTTTTAATTCCAGTCTTAAAAAGTCCTCATTCTTCTCTGTTGACACACAGCTGACCTTGGTAACAAGGACCTGTCCACTTACGTGTTGCTAACATGTTGCTCATTCCAGTGGCCTGCAGACGTGTGATCTGGCCCCGCCATAAGCTCACCCCGCAGAGCAGCCCGGGGCACCCCATCCGGAAGCAGGGAGCTGCTGACACCGGGCTCCCCAGCTAGTCCGCGGGCCGCGGCAGGGCAGTGGTTGGGCAGCGCTGCCGCTCTCGCAGAACTTCAGATCTTGACAAGATAAAATAGGCTGCAGTCATTCCTCTTAGCTCTCTGCCACGCTTAGTGTCCGTCCTCGTGCTCAGAAGTGACGGGCCTCAGCCACAGCTGAGTAACCTGAAAGGATCAAACATCTTTTTCTGGTTCCCTTTCCTTTTAGGTGGGAAACTTTCAGCGACAACTGGCAGAGGCTAAGGAGGACAACTGCAAGGTCACGATCATGTTGGAGAACGTGCTGGCCTCCCACAGCAAGATGCAAGGCGCTCTGGAAAAAGTACAGATAGAGCTGGGGCGGAGGGACTCAGAGATCGCGGGCCTCAAGAAAGAAAGGTACCGGAGATGACTGTCCTTGTGCGTGCGGCTGTCTGCTATGGCATAGTAAGGAACAAAGCCACTTTCAAGAACAAGCCGTTTGAGGAAAGCATCCTAGAAACTTGACTGGAAAGCAAGGTTTTCGGTGACCGCACTAACCTCTGCCTCTAGACTTCCCAACCTGCTCTTACCCAGGTCCTGGCCCAGAGCCACAGCCTCTTCGGGGTGCCCGGCCTCCAGTCTGGCCATGCGTGTGGCCCACAGGCTGCCCCTCAGCCCACACCCTTGAATCCTTGCCGCTCCCCGGCCCAGTGGAGTTTTGTGCAACGCAGGGTTCTTTGTAAGATGACGTGCATAATTATTTGTAGTCTTTAGTCAAGGGGAGATTTTTGTTTGGAACCAAAGACCTCCCTTCAGTCCTGAACAGGTTTTTCCTCCAATTTCAACCCAAAGTTTGACATATTCCCCTCTCCCTATTTTATACTCACTAAATGTGTGAGTATGACAATTCATCCCCTTTTCTAAGCTTCACTCAAAAAGTCTTCTATTTTAGCTTTACATTTCAGAAATAGTGAAATGTAGACATGCTTTCAATAAAACACAATATTATAAAAGATAAAGACCTAGAAAATTAGGGAGAATCTGGAATTAGAAATAAACATGATCTTCAAAGATTCAAAATTCCCATATTTTGTAGTGGTGTAAAGGAGTATGTATTCTAGAAGTTTGTGTGCTATATCGCTGCTTTACCCTTTCTGTTTCTATACCATTTAAACCTGCTCTGGGGTCTACAGAATAATAATTGTCTAGTCTAGATAATTAAAGCTAAGTGCCTAGTTGAGTTTGAATTACTTCTATATTAGTGTCCTATTTAAAGATTAATAATTTTAGAGGAATCATTCCAAGACTACTTCAAGTCATGTTTTATAAGTAAACTCCTTCTTTGAATGTTTCAAGTTGCATAAAAATTTCCCCTTGATGTTAATAAGCAAATGATTTGAGTTTAGTAAGTTCTCTGAAATATATTGTAATGTGTATATTAGTAGTGCATATAGCCTCTGTGTTATGGGGGAACAGGTGCCAGTTTTATATTCTCCATTGTACTTATCTTTATTTTTTGCATACTATAAATGTATGTTGCCTCTGAACTTAAAAAGTTACTGGGATGGTAGTAAAAATTGCCTACCATTCACAATAAAATTCTAGGTAGTTGTATGTATGTATGTATTTGACAGACAGAGATCACAAGTAGGCAGAGAGAGAGGGAAGCAGACTCTCTGCTGAGCAGAGAGCCCGATGCGGGGCTTGATCCCAGGACCCTGGGATCATGACCTGAGCCAAAGGCAGAGGCTTTAACCCACTGAGCCACCCAGGTGTCCTGGGAGTTGTATTTAGAAGCAAAGTGTCAACAGCAGGCCCATCCATCTAGAGGGGTATATTTTGTACTAGTGATATGTATATATGTTAAAATTACCAGCTCATAAGTTAGTCATTAATAAGTATTGACAGTTTAATGTATCAAGTCAAATTGACTCATAGCTGGGACAAATTTTTCATGTGTAGGAGCTTAATTTCTTAACCTGAAGCTCAAGCTGCTAATTGTTACTTGCCAAGTCTCAGATACTCTGAGCACCTCTACTTTACTACCTATGCTCTTTGAGCTTCTTGGAAGAGTGCCCTGTAACTCCCAGTGGCATCTAGAACATTCCATTCCTAGACGGTTCTTTTCTGCAGTCACTCTCCCTGCGCTGTCCATCCTTAGGGCTCTAAATCAGCAGAGGGTGCAGAAGCTAGAGGCGGAAGTGGACCAGTGGCAAGCCAGGATGCTGGTTGTAGATGCCCAGCACAACAGTGAGGTAAAGGCCACTTTTTTAATAGATGATAATGCTGATAGTTTTGTTTTATTGGGCTATTGCTCTTTTTAGGAAAATGGAGTAAAATAATCAGGGAAATTTCCTTTTTCATCCAAGTCTGAGTTTGGGTTACAAATGGGAAGTGGGCCTGCAGCCTTTCATTGGTTCATTTATTGGCAAACCAGGACCACAGTGATGCCTAATTCTCTTACTTCTATGGTTTACTTTTTATTTATTAATGCATAAATGACTGCAGAAGTTAAAGTGTCAGAGAATAACTTGAAACTTCAGTCAGAAGTCATTGAAATGATCCCGCTGTGAAAAAGGAGACACATTTACATGTGTGTGTTCACAGGTGTATGCACTCATGAATATATCTCTACATATATGTGCATATATTAAAAAGGGGTCTTTCATATAAATAAGCTTTTTCTGGAAGGACATACAGGGAATTGTTCTTCTCCCTCTAGGCAATGACACCACAAGGTTATAGGATCAGAAAGGGGAATTTAACCAGTTTAAAATTAAAAATTAAGTCGGCTCAATTTTTCAGAGCTCACTGGTAATCAGGAAGCAGACTCTCCCCATCGCCTTCTGAGACTCTCCTAAGCACGGTCTGCAGTAAGTTCTCACGTGTATATTGCAGGCAGCTGGAATCTTTGGTTCTGGTTCCATAATTATCGTTTCAATGGCCCCTGATGATAAAGTGTAAGGAATGAATATACAGTGTTACAGACTTCTTGCATCTGTGATAGTGGAATTGAAAAGAGCCCTCCCTCTTTCAGATGGAGCCTCTACAGAAAGCTCTAGATGTAGCTAGAGAAGACAACAGGAAACTGGCTTTGAGCCTGGAACAATCTCTCCAGACAAATAATCATCTTCAAACAAAGCTCGATCACGTTCAAGAGAAATTGGAAAACAATGAACTTGAGCGACAAAATCTGGAAACCTTCAAGTAAGGGCAGGATAGTCACAGTGAAATTAGGGAAGAGCCTCTGGGAGAGTAAGGTGGGCCCATTCACATAAACCAGTTCGTGCCAGCCTTCCGCTAGGGAACTAGACCTACCCGAGCAGCCCACGCTAGCTGGCTGGGGGATGCTTGTTCGGATCTCCTTGTCCGCTCTCCCCTCACCTCATGTCAAGCCTCTTCACCATGTGAAGGCTAAACCAAAACTTCACGTTTCTGCCAACCCTTTCCTATCAAAAGCTGATGTGTCCTTACGAAGCATGATCTGGGGAAGGAATAGCAACAGCCTGGATGGGAATAACCCCTTCTAGGAGTGGGATGAGTTCACCCAGACAAACCCTGAACCATTGTTTTCCTTTGGGCCTGAAATTAGTTAGGTCAAATCCATCAAGTTCAGGTGAAGGCCTTCATTTTGTTTTGTTTTGTTTTTGTAAAGTGCACCTAGGTAAATAGGGATGGGATAGAAGTGACATTCCATGGAAATCTTCAGCCAGGGGAAGATTTGCACAAAAATCTTTATGCAGTTCAGCTAGTGAACCTACCATAGACGAAAGGCATCAATTAAAGCTGAGAAAGTATGTTTTCTAATTTATGATCTGTGCAAATTCTAGAATCTAGGGAAATGTTATTGGCTCAAGAAATGAGCCAGAGAATGTTGCTGGCTTGTTTATTGGTTAAAACAAGAGTATGTGTTTCACTCTTTGAGCTGGGTGTCTTTATACTGAATGACTCTTTAGCCTTTAATGCTATAGGAAAATGTGTTCTTCCCCTGCCGTTAATGGGCTCCAGACCAGTGTGGTTCACCTGGTGCCTGATCTGCGTCTTGTTTGTAAATCACACCTTTTGGATAGTTGCATGTTCCCCTCGAGGCCTTCCTTACCTCCTAAAGATGATTTCTAAGGGTGACTTTTTCCCCCCAAAACAGAGAACGAATGACTGAGGAATCCAAAATGGAAGCAGAAATGCACGCTGAACGCATAGAAGCTCTAAGAAAGCAGTTTCAAACCGAGAGAGAAACAGCCAAGAAAGCAGCACAACGGGAAATGACTGAGGTATGTAGTCAGGTGACATGTGTCGCTCTAGATGAGTGCCTGCCCAGAGCAGAACCAGTTACAGGAGTTCTAAGCAGGGTTGCAGTTGCTCTTGTCCTTCTAGTCCCTCCATGATAAAGCCGTCTCTGTGCTCTTCATAAATCAAAACACAAGAAGCTTCTGATAGATGGTTCTCTGCCCAGCAAAGGAGTGTCTCAATGAGAGCTTTGTAACTGAGGGACAGAGGAAGGAAGTGGCTGGCCGTTGGGTAGACATCAAATCATCTGTCCCCTCAACTCGTTTGACTAGCACCTGTCACTCATTCACCTTTTCCTAGAGTCACGAATGGTCCATCCTCTGATGTGCTCTATGTAACCCGTACTTAATTGTGATCTCCACTCTTTACAGGAGATAAATAGGGTAAAGAGCAGGGGACATTTCTTGAGTAACTAGCGGCCATGTACAACTCTGAAGGAACTCAAAGTAAGGGTTGGGTGATAGAAGAAGGGAAACAGAAGTACACAATGTGCAGAGCTGACAGGGCCAGGACACCCAGTGTAAGGGGATGACCAAAGCATGATCCCAGGGTCCTGGGATCAAGTCCCACATCAGGCTCCTTGCTCGGCAGGGAGCCTGCTTCTCTCTCCACCTCTGCCTGCCACTTTGCCTGCTTGTGCATGCACACGCTCTCTCTCTCTCTGATGAATAAATAAATAAGTAAATAAATAAATAAATAAAATTTAAAAAAAAAGAAAATAAAAATTATCATCAGACACTAAATGTTCTATCATGAACAAAAGGGAGGGAGGAATTAAAATAACTCCAAGACTTGCTTGGAGTGGCTGGTCTACAGGTTTATATTTTGCCAAATTTGGTGTATTTAGCAACTGCAATTTACAGAGATCTTTTAGAAAATTTGTATATTATAAAACACTAAACATTAAAACGCTATAAAGGGAAACAAAAAGGTACACTGAAATTAAAGGCACTTTTAATCAGACATAGTTGTCAGAATACTTACAAGATTTAAATCCTTTTAACAAGGACCGCTGCAGACTGCACTAGTGAGGAAACCAAGGGAAGGGTGAGTGTGTGATGTCAGGGGCCGTTAGCAGCAGGGCAGGCTTGGTGTGCACCACTCAGGAGTCCCGGCTCTGCCTCTTATTAACAGGGCATTAATTAACTGTGGATAGTTTCAGAGTTTCTATTTCCTCAGTCATAAACTACTTTCCAGGGTTTTGTTTTTGGTTGTTTTTTTTTTTTTTTTAAGTTGGAAAATATATGTAATTATCACAGTGCCCAAACATAGTAAGTACGAAGTAAGTGATCATTGTTAGGGCTTACCCAGTTTTGGCAAAGTTATGACTGAGGTAATAGTAGAATGTAAATAAAAAGGCCGGCACTGGGGCACAGAGACAGGCTCTGAAGGAAAGTAGTGTAGAAAGAAAAGCTACAAATAACCTTAGCATGTCAGACACCACCAGCTGTCCTGAGTACCACCTTCTCCCTTCTCGCTGCCACCTCTTCCTGAAAACCCAGCGGCACTGCTTTAAGGGCACTGGAAGAGGAAAGGAGTTCTATAAAATGATTTAAGTCACATTAAAAGATAAACTGAGGCATATTAAACATTTTAAGAGTTTAACTGAGCAAAACTCAGTTCCAATCATGGTAGTACCCAATCTAGCAGAGCTCCAGGAGCCGTATGAAATGAAAGGCTTTCAGAGGCAGCCAAGAGCGGGAATAAGACATATTAGGCTAAACAGCAGGTTGATTAGTACAACGCACTCTCCTTTGGGGGATGGTAGGGGTCTTATCAGGCAGATTACCCAACTGTCTTAGATCATTTGCTTTGTGGTTAGCAACGATGAACGTGCATTTCAAGGTTTTAAGAGAACACAGCACTCTTGGGGGAGACTGCTGTGATCATTATAAGCAGGTAATTCCCAACGTGCCTTGGTCCCCAAGACCCAGATAGAGTCAAGCAAGGGAAGGACTCTGCTGAAGGAGTCACTCTCTCCGGCCGGCTAGCTCATTCAGCGATCTCAGGTAGCGGAGCCTCAGCTTCCCCAGAAGCGTCAGTCTAAGTGCGCAGGGGTACCGGCCCCAGCACAAATACCTCCTCACGCAGCTAAAAGACAACCGAGAATATCCGATTACCCAGAACAAGTTCAGGCAGAGTCAAGGGTTTTGTTGGGCAGCTTTTAGCAGATTCTGTAGTACCTTTAAGAATTATGGAGAGGTTTCCGACGGCAGCCCAGGCACTAGAGATCTACCAAAGGAAGCTAATTTTTTTTTAAGATTTTATTTATTTATTTGACAGAGAGAGAGATCACAAGTAGGCAGAGAGGCAGGCAGAGAGAGAGGGAGAAGCAGGCTCCCCGCTTAGCAGAGCGCCCAATGCGGGGCTCGATCCCAGGATCCTGAGATCATGACCTGAGCTGAAGGCAGCGGCTTAATCCACTGAGCCACCCAGGCACCCCAGGAAGCTAATTTTGAATCACGAATGCCTCCTGGTAAGTCCACTTTTCAGTCTGTGGCTCAGAACTGGAAAGGTGACAGCAATGGAGGTCAGTAAAATTTAAGTTTGTAGACCACACCGATTTTATTCTAGTTCCCCTTGCCTGTGTCACTTTCTTTGTCCAGAACCTGGATGAAAGACTTCCTGGGCTTGGAGTTTTTGTTTTTGATTTTTTTTTTTTAAGATTTTATTTATTTATTTGACAGAGATCACAAGTAGAGAGGTAGAGACAGAGGAGGAAGCAGGCTCCCCGCTGAGCAGAGAGCCCGATGTGGGGCTCAATCCCAGGACCCTGAGATCATGACCCGAGCCGAAGGCAGAGGATTTAAACCACTGAGCCCCCCAGGCGCCCCGGGCTTGGAGTTTTGAACCTGAAGCAGAGAAATTGACTGTGGGGTATAGGGAGTATGAAACAATGGAGAGGGGCGCAGAGTTGGGCCCAGAGGAACTGAAGCATCAGAAATCAGAAGTGTGTGACGGGCAGAACTACGGGATGACCAGCGGCATGGCGAATCCACCAGGTGTTCGAAGGCTAGATTACGCCCTTTGCAATGGCATCATTTTTGCAGGCCAGAGCAAGGCAAAAGGTAGGCAAACGAATCCTAAAGACCATCATGGTGTAAGAATTAGGAAAAGGATGGTCAGAGAGAGAAGAAAGAATGGAAAGAAACATTCTTGATCTGACATCTTAGGTGGAAGCAGTCTACCCCAAAGTCAGCTACTTCTCTTCTTAGCTAATTTGATTTTGAGGCCTCCACACCACATAATTACACAGGACCAGACGTCAGATGGAGTCTTCTTCAGTTGTGAAATCTGAATCTTCTAATTTGGCGGGAACGTCAGTGCTCGAGAGTACTTGGTAGGGTCCTTCCCAGGAATCTCCCTTTTGCACAAGTATCCAAGAGCACCAGCTGTCGATAAATGATAAGACTTTAGTATACTCATGTTTAAAGATCTGATGAGAGTTCATGATAATAGAATTGACAAGGATATTGGGTTATATCTGTGATATACAGCAATTTAAGATAATAACTGGGATTAAAGGACATAGCAGATTTTTAGGAATTTCCTACAGTTACTAGAACACCTATTCATAACACACATTGTACAAGCACAAGGTTTGTCATCACTAATTTGGCAGTGCTCCCCCTGTAATTGAGCACACCAAATACACCTAATCAGTTTTAACATGTCTCTTTTACATGGTGAGACAAAAATCCTTTGAGATTTTTCAGGGTTTCTCTGGGAAATCTCAAGGTTACTTTGAGATCAAAAAGGCTCCATTTAGAATTTGATTTGGGAACGTTGTCAAAGCATTTGAACATCTGACTAAGATCACAAATTATTATGAAATATTTTTTAAACAAAGTGACAGTAGAGGGGCGCCTGAGTGGCTCAGTGGGTTAAAGCCTCTGCTTTCGGCTCAGGTCATGATCCCAGGGTCCTGGGATCGAGCCCCGCATTGGGCTCTCTGCTCAGAGGGGAGCCTGCTTCCCCCTCTCCCTCTGCCTGCCTCTCTGCCTACTTGTGATCTCACTCTGTCAAATAAATAAATAAAATCTTAAAAAAAAAAAAGTGACAGTAGAAGTTTTAAAAGCAAATACAGAAAGTTATATAGTTGTGAACAAAAGTTAGCTCTTAAGAAAACCCAATCTTCTCAATGTTAAGTAATCAAAAACCTAGTAAAAGACAGTGTCAACCACAGTAAGTTAATTTGTTAAGAAGTAAAATCCTTGTTTTTCAGGGAGATTACCTAAAAGGTTAAAAAACAAAACAAAATAAAACAAAAAAAACCTTTCACAGCCTCTTATCAAGAACAGACTAATAGTCCAAGAAAGCTCAGTCCATTTAATGAAGAGAAAACCAAATTCTAATTTTGTACTAAATTCATTCTTTAAAAACTTGAATTAACTTAGCCACCTTAACCACACACAAAATTCCTTTCTCAAGACTCCTTTTCCACAAACCACTCTTTCTTTTACCCATTAAGATTTTGTTCTATGTCTTTTCCTTTTTCTCCATCTGGAGCAGACATTTTACTTTAAACTTACTACTTTTCATACAGTTTCCTTTCATTCTTATTACTTTGAAGTAATTTTAATTTCACATATTGACTAGAATCTCTAACCCTTAGAATCCTTATTCCTAGGGAAAACTAAGAAATAACCAATTGTAGAGTGTGTTACACTAACATTCTGTGGGCTGGCAAATTTATGAATACATTTCTTAATTTCTAGAAGTATATTCTCTCTCCTAGTAAACTTTCTAATTTAGCACAAAACATGTTTATTAACCCAAGTATCTTTAGTTTCTCTGTAAAAGGAAGCTGAAATTGGTAGACCTATGTTTAGTAATTAATGTTTTGGTATTTTATTTGGAAATGATCTAGATATTCAATGTGTCCATCATTTAATTTATTGTAGGGTAATTTCAAGGTTTCTCATTAACAAAAAATTTGGTAATTTTACCCAAAACTCGGAAAATTTTATCCTACATCTCTAACAATTATGTTTAGATTACTCATGAAAATTTCATGAGACATTAAACAGCTAACCATGATCTTTCTTGCTGACAAATTCTATCACAGAGATAGATGAGCTTATCTGACTTTTAATAAACCCGGTAAAATAAGCATTACAACTTATGTTGATAATTCTGAAGACATGGTTATTTTAAGTAAAAGGTAGCTTGTTTGTTGTTCTATTTGTGGATGATTATCCTAGATCTTGTAAACTTGATATGTATAAATACTTGTTTGTCTTTAAACCAATTAAATAGAGCTCTTTACAAATTCATTTTGGCAATACCTTTCAAAGGTAGGAAAAAAAATCTCTAAACATGCGTACAAAGACATAAACATACAGACACAAACAGGTCTAACAAGCTCCATTTTACAACTTTAGTTCTAAGACAGGCAAATAATGCAAAACACGCTATGAAAGAACAGGTGGATCCAAACTGTGATTTTGGCAAATGGAATAAAGTTAAGATTACCTGTTCGGGCTAAAGCTTTTAATGCCTATTGGTGGAGGAGACTTTTAAGATTTTTCATGGGTCTACTTTTCAAAATATCCTTTCTTTATTTTCTTTTCCTCCTAAGAATTGTCTTCATTCCTGGAGAACACCAAGTAGAATTCATACATCTCAAAAATCACAGAAAAAGAATATACGTTGTACCGAGGAGGATTTTGTTCCCTAAATCCAGATCTTTTACAATATCTGCAAGCCTTAGATGGATTAGGGGATGGGGATTGGTAAAAAGGATAGGTGGGCTTTGAATTGTTCTAGAGCTGAATTTCTGTTCTTGTATACTTGATTTACAAGACAAGTAGTTTTTAATTTCTCAAGTAATTGGGTCACAACCTTTAATGCTATACAGACTGACCCACCCAGCCAACTACATTATCTTTGATTTGCTTCTTTGTATCAGGGAGATCTTCCACTAAGATGGAAATTAAAAAAGCCCTATGTTCCAGATTTAGAGAGAGCTGTGTGTCTTTGGAATATTTTAGTAAATCCTTCCATAGAGACTTTAGAATGTTTCTCTTTCTCTCTCTAGGTATGTAGTTTCATTTTAGCTGAGTGGTGGACTTTTTCACCCCAGCTTCCCTCAGACCCAGAGTATCGGCACTGACCAGGTGAACTGCTGTTGACCGAAAATACTGCCATCATGGCAGAGGGAAGAAAGGAACTGTTAAGTCTATCAGACTCTGAATTTGCTCATCTTCTGACAATAGAGCTACTTTTTTTTTTTTTTTAAGATTTTATTTATTTGGGGGAGAGAGAGAGAGAGAAAGCACAGAAGGAGAGGGAGAAGCAGACTCCCCACTGAGCAGGGAGCCCAATGTGGGGCTCGATCCCAGGACCCTGGGATCATGACCTGAGCCAAAGGCAGACACCCAACTGACTGAGCCACGCAGGCACCCCGATAGAGCTACTTTAAATCCTTTCAGATATCTTACCAGCTTTGAGCCAGGACAAACAGTAAATACTCCTAGCAGTATTGAACTACCCCATGGATGTAAGACAGGTCCCCTCAGAAGGGCACAAAAGATAATCCTCACCCAAGTTCCAGAACCACTCCCAAAGATAACCAAGAGAAATATCCCGGCCGGCACCAGTCAGTAGGTTCCTGGCCAACCACATTTTTAGAGCCTCTGACCTGATGGTTGCCTAGTCAAGTTCTCAGGACACAAAACCAGATCAACAAGAAGGCAATAGCTGTCCCTAGCAGAGGAAGGATCAACAACCAATGAGTACCTGGAAGCAGATTCACAAGACACAATCAAAGATTTCTCTCTACTGTTACAGTTCAAAGAATTACCTTAAACCTATCTTTTCCTTATCAGTCTGAATCTGATAGGGACAGACGTGAAATTTTACCTTCCTCTCTCAACCATGCACCATCGATAGACATCTGAGAGAGCTGACTTTCGTGAAAATTGTCACCTTTTGCTAGCTTCTGCTAGTTTTCCAGATCCTAGCTGTAGGCTCTGAGCACGTGGGCATGTCCAGTAGGCCTCACTCTAGTCATCACAGAGGATGAAAAATAATAATCTTCCTTCTGCCTTTTATAAGTGCTTGGCCTTGCTCCTCTGGAGTACCTTTCACATGGATAAACTTACTTAGGTTGAAAGTTCTCCCTGGTAGCCGCTGTAATTCAAAATTCTCTGTCCGTTCAGCCTTAAAGTTGTACTCACCTGAGGCCTCACGCTGGACCCGCTCCAGCTCTGGACTCAGTTTGATTTTAGATCAGAAACAGTACAACTCTAGTCAGGTTCTGGACCCAGTCCGGAAAAAGAAAGGCTCAAAGTCTGACAGCTGCTAACACAGAAGCTGCTGGGGGAGGCTCTAGGAGGGACTTAGTGTGACGTCCAGAAGCATCAAGGAAACAGGGGGCGCCTTGGGTACCGACAGCTGCTTGCTTGAGGCTCCTGCGGACCGTTGCTCTCCTTCCTTTTTTTCTTCTGACACCAAAACTGTTAAATATTTAACATGTGTTTATCTTTTAAAAGTTTATTTGAACAAAAATTGATTCAAGTTGGGCATTATCCGCTCTAGCAGAGATCTTCAAGGAACAGTACAAAATGAAGGCTCTTTAGGCAGAAGGAGCAGGAACAAGTTTTACGACCCAGGAACTCAAGCTGCTTTTCGCAAAGTTTCTTTGCTTTAGAGGACGGCGGCATCAGGCAGACCACCCAGCTAGTGCTCATCAGGCAAGTCCTGAAGGAGTCATTTAAGGGTTCATTTCTAGGAAAGCCAAAACTAACTCAGTCTTGGTTTGGTGACGTGGGGCTTAGCGTAAGGGACTCCATTTGAGGGCTGTTGTCTTGTATTTAACAGTAATCTCTATGCCATTTTCCACTAGACAAGCTTATTAAAATCTTTAAAACTGAAAGCAGTATTATAAAAATCCATGCAGTGGTAGTAACGGGCAAGTATTTATATAAATTACCTTCTAATTTTCAGTTCTCCAGACACGAGGTCACAAGCAGCAGGGAAGAGAAAAGCTGAAAGCTGAGCAAGTGTGCAGGCTCCCCTTCTTTCTCTGCCTTATCTTGTTCAACTCAGAGTCCCCAGAGATAAGTCATTTGTGTGCTTTGCCATTGATGACCCCGAGGGTCAGGGAAGTTAACTATCCAAAATTACTCGGCGAATAAGTGCTACAGCTGAGATGTGAACTTAGATTGGACTCCAAAGTCATGCTCTTTAAAAGCAAATGATGAACATGTATTTACATTGTCTAGATCTGTTCTAGGAAAGATTGTGTTTAATGTTAAAAATTATGAAAAAAAAGATGAAAACCACTTAGAGTTTTGCGCCACCACTCCTCAGCAGACATCATCATCATTGCCTCGCTTACCCTTGTCTTTAAAAGAAAGGTCCAAAGGGAACTAAACACAGAGACGGGCCTAATCATCAGCTTCTCTTTCGGGAATGGAAGCTTAAAATGATGGACTTTTCCCTTTGTGTTCGACAGCTGAAGAAGGCCCTCGATGAAGCCAACTTCAGATCAGTGGAGGTAACCCGGACCAACCGAGAGCTGCGGCAGAAACTGACGGAGCTTGAGAAGGTCGTGAACAGTAGCAAGGAGAAAATAAAGAATCAAAAGGCCCAAATTAAGCTCCACTTGTCGACTAAGGCGAATAATACTCAGAATGTAGAGAGGATGAAGGTTGTATGAGGCGCGCTCCTTCTCCCCTCGCTTCCTTAGAATCCGAGAGGATCCAAGCAGGTGGTGGGGTCCGGTGAAGGCGGTCCCAGAGTCCTGACAGCACCCGTGTTGTCTGGGGATGACAGCTGCCCCTGGGGCGTGGGCAGACGCCTGGAGGGGGGCGGTTACTCTCTTTCCAGCAGAGCTACTGCTGTGTAAATGTGTGGTTTCTGTGTAGCTGCCAAGTCCCTTTCTGACTCCCCATCTGCCCCCTCCCCAGGGACTGCACAGGACTTTGCTGTTTTAGGGTCAGTGGGCCAGACGGGAAGGAGGGCCCAGCGGGAGCCGGTAACTGTGGGTCTCACGTGGGATTCTTTCTGTCACCCCATAGGCGAAAAGAGCAAGCCAATTTTTCTACTGATCACCTTTCTATGTTATTTCCACATTTACTTTCAGCAAATAGAAACAGAATTGAGGCAAATGGAGCTAATTAAGGATCAATATCAGAAAAAAAATTATGAACAGGTAGATTTTCACGAACTCCATGTTTTTACCATTCACATAAAATCTCAGACTCGGACCCATTCACCAGCTGCTTCCCTCTCTGTGCCCCGCCAGTCGCTGAGCATCCAGAAGTTCGTGTCTGAAATGACCAACCTACAGGAGGAGATGCAGCTCTTGGCCAAGAGCCAGTACGAGACCTCGGCGCGGAACAAGCAGCAGGAGCTGCGCCTCGAGGCGGAGAGGAAGAGGAGGCAGGACCTGGAGGGCCGGTGCCAGGTGAGAGGCTTCCTCGGGGTCCTCTCAGCGACGAGCAGCACATGGCGTGCCCTGAAGCCCAGCAGCAGAGCACCTCGGTTTTCTAGATTCTATAGAAGAAACGTAAACCTGCGAGAGGAAGAAGCCTGAAGCTCTGGTGTGCCACGTGTTCCTGGTTTTCAGTTTATGAGGGATTCATTCTTAACAGCTGAAGCTCGCTGTGCAAGATACTGGTTCCTAAGGCTTCCGAACTGAATTTCATAGTCTTTTAGGAACTTTCTACCCCTTGGTTCTTCCCAGAAGCTCAGATCGCCCAGTGCTGTGATGGGGCTTGCAGCTGTACCCAGCCTCCGGGCAAGGGCCACGTTCTGTCACGGAGTAGGGACTCCAAGAGACCGTCAGGCTCTTGCCTTCTAGCAGACACTGTCTGCTGTGAAAAAGCATTCCTTCGGTTCTGGAAGGAGATATTAATCGCTTCCTCTTCGGGAGGATACATAAAATCAAAATCGGATATGCGTTAGGTGTACTGCTGACAGTAACAGCGTGTATCTTACATTTTGGTAGCACCTGAAGTTACAAAGTATAACCCCGTCACGCTTTCATCATTTGGTTGCCCATTTATTACAATATGGAAGCTTTTTGTTCCGTATGGTATATTGGGAATTTGTAAGAATCTTCGTATCACATTTTCAGGAATTGGAAGAAACGATCAGACACCTAAGGAAATGTAAAGAGGCAACAGAGCATAAACTGAAAGAAGCCAGTGTAGAATCAGAACAGGTAAGCCACACCCAGTCAAGGTAAAATCCTTCACGGACATAGTTCCAGGAGTGTAGCAGGCAAGAACCAGTAACTAAGTCTAATGTCTACCATGGGGAATACTTTTCAGATTGGGATTCTGCCTCCTGGTAAAAGAACACTGAAGTACTGACTGAGCCAAGCCCAAGTCTCTAGCCCTAAGTGTAAGGAGGAGGACCGGCGTGTGGGTAGATTTTAATGCACTACTGCTTGACACCACTGATAGTAAGGCAAGCTCTTTGTTCAGTCAATAACTAGAAATGTAAAGTAGGCCCTATTTTTTTTAAGTTTTACTTTAATCTCTCTACCCAACATGGGGCTCAGACTCACAACCCTGAGATTAAGAGAGGCTTCCTCTTCTGACTGATGCGGCCAGGTACCGCTCGTGGGCCCTTTGAATTTGCGAATTTGCTTTCTCTAATCTTAAATTGACCTTTTTGAAGGTATTTAAAATCATACATTTTTTAGAGGTGGAAAGGACCTATGAAATTCGTTGTGTGACACAACAGTCCTAATATCCAGTTAAGAAAACAGAGGTATCACAGTGATGAAATCATTAGTTGGTCATGATTTGTCCTTTTTATAGCCATTCAACAAGACAATAGGACTATCAGAGTGGTATATCAAAAGGAATATGGACTCATGAGTTTGAACGCCAGCTGTGACCCTTGCTGTGCCCTCGAGGAAGTTACATTTACTTTAACTCATCAATTACCACATCTCGAAAAGTCAGGATAATAAGACTTACTAATCTGTTATGCTGTAGATGACTCAGTAAGTTTCACTAAATAGTACCTCCCTTCTCATTCACGGTGCAAAAGGTGACATGATGTACAGGGCCATTTCTAGCATCTTTCCCTCCATCCCTGGCAAAGAGTGCTAGAGAGGGGCTGCCTGGGTGGCTCAGTGGGTTAAGCCTCTGCCTTTGGCTCAGGTCATGATCTCAGGGTCCTGGGATGGAGTCCTGCATCGGGCTCTCTGCTAGGCAGGGAGCCTGCTTCCTCCTCCCTCTCTCTCTCTCTCCCTCTCTGCCTACTTGTGATCTCTCTCTGTCAAATAAATAAATTCTTTAAAAAAAAAAAAAAAGTGCTAGAGAAATGTGGGGTTGGTTTGAGGGGGTGGTGAGAGTATTGCGGGCATTAGGCGGATATACAAAGTACTTGAGCTTTGTAGCTTTCTAAAGCCTAAATGCCAAGGGGAGCTCTATTTTCTTACCTCATTATTTTGTACCCACACAAGGACCTGGCTAATCTGGGACAAATACCTAGTCCCACACATTTACTGTGGACCTGTCCTATGCTGGGCACTGGACTAGTTGAGGGGACACAGGATGAACTGAGCCCAAGGACACCCCTGCTTTCAAGGACTTGCCTTCTCCCAGGGAAGAGAGAAATACACCTCTCTCTTTCTGAGTTCAAAATCAGTCATTTTACTTTTTATTCTAGAGGATATGTTCTGGAGCTCTTTTGAAGCAACTTTTATATAACCTAAAAGCCTGTCAGCTTTACCTTAAAATACTGAAGTAACCCAGATACATACAGAAGTGCCAGGCACATACAGGTACTCAGTAAATATCTGTCAAATAAACGAATATTGGTTTCAGATCATCTGCAAAGGCAGACTACTAGAAGGACCATTTAAGTCTAACAAAGGTGGTTTGGAAGTTTGTGCTTAGGAGCCAAAGCATAAAATATTTTGATCATAAAGGAAATAAAAAGAACGCAATTTACACTAAGCTAGTCCACTCTTTTACTAATTCAATTACTTTCATAAAGCTCAAAAGAAAGATCTAGTATAGGGACTTTGGAGAATGATTTAATCTTAGAGAACAGAACTCAAAAATTCAAACTGTGGTTTGAACTACCATATTCCTTGGCAGAGCCGTCTTGTTCTTTTCGTTCTTATTTTCCTCCTGGGTCCTCTTCCTTTCATTCACATCCAGGAAGTATCAATAAATGCAGGGAAGCAGCAGGCTTGCGCGCATTCAGCTCTGCCTTCAGAAGTCACTCCTGTCTGGAGGTGTGCAAGGACCTTGCACTCGGAATCTGGGTCCTTTAACGTCTGGGTAAAAAAATGTCTCTGGAACTAATACACAGAAAATTTAGAGCTTTCTTTGTTGTGATTTTTACTGATAAGACTTTTCTGTTCAGATAACAGCTAACCTGGAAGAAGCCCATCGCTGGTTTAAGTGTAGGTTTGACGGCCTCCAACTTGAGCTGACAAAAAACCGGTTGCAGAGGCTTCCCCGAGAAGACAGGTGGCTGGAAGAGGTAGGGTGCTTAGGCATGGCTGTCCTCAGCAATTCTGGATTCGTCCCTTCTCAGATTTCTCACCGCAGAACTACTCTCTTCATCCCGCTACTCTTCCCACTAATCTTTAGGTTTCTCTAAACTGCAAGAAAAACAAACTGAATTTCTTCCTTAAAAGTCACACATCTCCCAAACTGTCTAGATTAGAACCACTCAGCTTGATGAGTAGATTATATTCGTGGAGACAGAATGGGTCCTCAGCCCTGCAGGTAGTTGGGAACAGTGTTAGGCCTGTTTTCCTTCCAACAGGACCACGGTAACAAGCATGATGTTGCATCCGGCCAGTCTGCTCTACACCGATGGGAGAATAAACAGAATCTTAAACTTGTGCCCAAGAAGTGTCATTCTGAACTTCAGAGAAAGTGATGTCCTTGACAGAGGCTTCATCTAGAGCTACACCGCCATGATTTCCGAGCCCAGCGTCCCGGGCTGGACTTTCCCGCAGTCATCAGAACATGAAGTCTTTGATGTGGGCTGAAGATTTTGGACTTGAGTTTCTCATATTATGAACTTGCTGGTATCAGTACAGAACCACCCCATCTTATTTGTCCTTTTCCCCCATTTTCCACCCAATAAATTTATATTAATTTGTTGTATGATAAGAGATGCTGTTGCATGATACTTGGCTATTTTTCTAAGTACATTCTATCAAAAAGCACTCAGTGAGGTACTAGATGATAATGGCAACCAAATGACAGACTAGGACATTTCTTTGAAACAAAATATCCTAACGTCCAGCAGATAATCCCTGGAACTAGAATCACTTGGAAAATGGTAAAAACGTTTCCAGTCATACAAACGTATACCCTTTTAAGCTAGATAATTACCAGCACATCTTTAATAAGATGATATCTCTAGTCTGTATTTTATTAAGTAAGTTCTAGGCCCAGTGTGGGACTTGGACTCATCACCCTGAGTTCGAGTCACACACACACCACCAACTGAGCCAGCCAGGCACCTCTATGTCTATTCTTACAACAGACATTGTATTTACAGCTTCCTTGGACATTGACAAAGCAAACTATTGTGTACGGCAGTCTGCTCTGCGCCAGGAAACTATGTCTGACCAATGTAGCTCTTCCTTACTAGAACAAGCAATAATTGAGATTTTTCTTATTTCAGACACAGAGTGGCAGGTGGCACACAGTAAGTCTGGACCGCCGTGGCGTACTCAGTGCTCAAACCATGGCAGGTACTGATGCCATCGGGACCTAAATCAAGCGGGCAACTGTGAAACTGGAGAGAACATCAAAAATAAGACTCTCGGGACGCCTGGGTGGCTCAGTTGGTTAAGCCGGTGCCTTCGGCTCAAGTCATGATCCCAGGGTCCTGGGATCGAGTCCCGCATTGGGCTTCTTGCTCGGCAGGGAGCCTGCTTCTCTTGCTGCCTCTGCCTGCCTCTCTGCCTGCTTGTGTGTACTCTCTCTCTCTGACGAATAAATAAAATCTTAAAAAAAAAAAAAAGACCCTCAGAGGTTGAAGCCCCCCCCCCCACACGCATCTGATATAAAAAAGCTGGGTTTAATGCTCACTCTGGTAAGGAAGAGCTTTATTGGTCAGGCAGAGTCTTATACAGGGTTTTGGAGAAGGCGGGGGTTCAAGGATTTCAAGACTTTCAGAGGCTTTTAGGAGGCTTGATATCCGCTGCAGAAGTGTCAGTAATGGGGGTGAGACTACTAGTTGGCATTTAGGGCCAAGTTTATTGGAGTGTGTCCATTCAGAGCTGAGGGCTCGTCGACTGGCAGGCTGGTAAAAGCCTCCTCGCCTTGTCTCACCCCCACAGGATCTCTCCTTGTGGACTGTTTGTAAGGAGATACAGTCAGTTGAGGGTACCAGGGCATCAATCTTGAAATAGTCCAACCAAGAGCCCTAAAGAGCAGTTTACCTTAGTCATGAATTCTTCATAGGAAAAAAGATCCCAGTTACTGGCCAGGAGAGATGATCAACTTTAATGGGTTATAAATCTACCATTTCTGAGTGTTGTCATGACATTGACAGTTACTAGCCAACAATATGCTTGTCTTCCTCATCCAGAACACAGATCACTTTTGTACTGTCCTCAAAGAGTATCATTATTGATAAAGTCAGTATAACATACCTTTTTATCACTTTTTAGGTTGGCTACTACACATTAGCTTGGGAGGAGGGAATTGCAGAGTTAGGTCAGTGGTCATCTCTAGGAAAGCTTCTAGTTAGAACTGCATGTTCAGAGGGATGAATTTGCTGACGTGTTTCTATAGCACCTTGCAGGCGTCTACTGTATGGTACACTAGCTTCCATTTTGGGCCTCGGCTTTCATCGGAAACTGTCAGTGGTTTTTAAGACACCAGACATCATGCAACAAAGAACAGTGACCCCTGAGAGAAAGGGAACGAGTGAGGTGAAGCCTACTATTGGCCCAGCTTACAGCCTTCAGAATGTTCCGGCTGTGTCACGAGGAGGAGAAATCAAGGTGGGCTCCTTGAGTTAAGGAGCCAGAGCCCAGGAGACGTGACTGCTGGAGTCCTGGACCGAGTCCCAGAGAGGAGAGAGCTGCACGGATGGAGAGCTTCAGCGAGGTCCCAAAGGTCCTCTGAGTATCCAGCTGAGTACAGTCAGCGCATGTACAGGGGGAAACCACCCAAAGCTGGAGAAAGAATCATCCAAAAGGGTCCAAGTTAACAGCGCCCACACACAATACCAGTTCCCACCAGCCAGAATCAAACATCATGATTTACAGGATGCGGGTGGGGTGGGGGTGGTAATACTAAAGAGTATCAGTCTCAGATGTAGAGACTAGTCAGCCCTACAGTGAACAATGCTCTGCTCCCACCTGACAAATCTTAAAAACAAGACCCCAAATGACCCATTTCCAGGTAACTGCATTCCAAAACAGAGCTTAAGAATATTTAGAGAAGGGGCGCCTGGGTGGCTCAGTGGGTTAAAGCCTCTGCCTTCGGCTCGGGTCATGATCCCAGGGTGTTGGGATCGAGCCCCAGATCAGGCTCTCTGCTCAGCAGGGAGCCTGCTTCCTCCTCCCTCTCTCTCTCTCTCTCTCTGCCTGCCTCTCTGCCTACTTGTGATCTCTGTCAAATAAATAAAATCTTAAAAAAAATATTTTAAAAATTTTTTTAAAAAAGAATATTTAGAGGAATACAAAAATATATAGCTCCCATTGAGGTAAAAAAAAAAAATCACCATTAGTGATATTCAATCCAAAATTAGCAGGCATACAAAGCAGGAAAATCTGACCCAGAACTAACATAGATATTAGGAGTGACAAAGACATAAAAACAGTTACTCTAGGTATATGTTCAAAGAATATTACAACAATGGATGATAATAGAAAGAAATTGAAATTCATAATATCAAGTAGTAGAAAGATGATGCGTAGTTTGCTTTAGCAATAGAGACGTACCACATGTGGGAACATCAGACTTAAAGGGGATTCTAATACAAGATCTGAAGATGCTTTAATTTTTTGACAACTATAGTTCTGAAGAAAGGAGACAAAGCTATGGCTACTGAATTAAGGGACAGACAATACTATTATGTCTGCTGCTTTAATACCTACCCACCTTTTCATGTTAGTACAAAAAGATTCATGAAAATCTAGGAAGAATCAATCTGGATTCTGACCAGTGATCCCAAAGTATCAGATACAGGTTGAGACTCGGGAAGGGGCTCAGAATTGCTGTAAGTTCTCATTTTCTAGAGTGGTTTTAATAAACCAAAGCAAATAATGTTCACTTCCTTTCAAAATTGTATAATTACTACACATTTCCAAATTCATCCCATCTTTTGTTATAAAGTCATTTTAAGACAAAACCAGTCTCTCACATTGTAAGTCATTTTGCTTTTCTTTCTTGACAACTTTTTTGGGGGGGCTGTAGAGGGAGAGAGAAAATCTTAAGGGCGCTTCCACACTCAGGACAGGGCCCTGAGATCACGACTTGAGCTGAAATCAAGAGTCAGCTTCTTAACCATCTGAGCCACCCAGGCACCCTGCTTTTTAGACTTTAAAATTTCAGCCAGAAGGATCTGATGTTCCAGAGTGATAGGATTAGTTGTAGCTAACACTAGTATCCAGAGCTGTTCTATCCCACTTGGGAGTTTAGAGGAAAGACAAGGAATTGTGAGCTCATCTCCCCCCCAAGTGGCATCACTGGATTTCAGATGGTTGTCCTTCACTTTTTATTAGCCCAGTGAGCTTGTTGGTTGCAATTTCTCCCAGTCTCTTTACTGATAGACTTCTCATTCTTAACAGACCTTTGGGCCTCAGTTTTATCTCAGGGGTCTGTGGTTTATACAGACAGCTAGAGCTTGTTTACTCTAAGACTCTCAGAAACATCTAGCTACAGATTACTGGTTTTCTTCAATAGTTTTGAATTTCATGGCTTTTTCTTATTAAATGCCCTAGTCCAGATTAGATCCAGTAACAAAAAGGAGACAAGGCTCTTACTTCAGCTCTTGGGTCCACCTCAGGGTACTCTTTGAAAGTTGAGCAAAATGTCTGAGAAATTTGACTGTTGGATGGTATTTGGCATCTCCCCAAGAGCACTTACTCTGGACTCCTGGGTCTGATCAGCCTTGTCTCATTGAGCCCGACTTTGGGTTCACACTGCTCTCCGTCATCAGATGTTCTCCACTTTGGACTTCTTTGGGCAGTAGGGACTCTACGCCATTTGCTAATACAACCTGTTTTAGAAGTGGTCAGAAACAATGTACAATATAGAGAAGACTAGAACAGACTGGAACATTTCCTGCCCACCAACCGCAGCAGAGATTTCTTATAGCTCTAGTAAATCCAAGACTGCATCTCATTGGATGCTGATGACACGCCCACACTCAATCAATCACTGTAACTTCAAAGATAGACTGGATACTAACTAGCGAGGTCTAGAGGGGAGATGTGTCCATCTGAAACTGAGAATAGTTCCCCAAAGGAAATCTCAGCTATGTTCCTAGAGGAAAGGGGAACTGGAGGTAAGTCAGATCAAAACCACAGATGTCTATCACAACAGTCAAAAGACTGTAAACTGAGAAAATACACCCACATGGTCAGTACTGAACTTCATTAATGCAGACCCGGAGCTCTGAGTAGGTGCTAGGTTCCTTTCATATTGACACTCCGTTTCCTCCAAAGCATTTATAAGAGACAGACACAGGCTGTCAAGTTCTCTCTGAGCTTTTAAAACTGATTCCTTAATAACATATAGACTTTGCAACAGCTGCTTAGCTACCTACCTCCTCCAGTTTCCTTCACAAGCAATAAGAAACAAGAAAGAAAAAGTAAATTCTACATAAAGCCACACTTAGTATAACTTACGATCAATGTCAAATCTTTAAAAATAAGTAAATTGAGAAAAATCAGCAAATCCCATTTGTGTGCTCACTCACACTCCTGCCCACCTCTCTACAAGGCTTGGAGCAGACAAAGGCAGATCAAGGTAGAGAAAGGAAACAAGTGAAGGGGGCTGAGGTGGACTTGTCACTGCCGCCACAAGAGCTAAATGCCCCCTAAACCTGGCAGTCCTGAAAAAAGTGTCCAGGCAGATCAGAGTGTGCACTACAAGAAGGGAACTTCCAAGTACATTGGATTTAAAGGCATGATCTAAAGCGG